AGAGAGAGAGAGAGAGAGAGAGAGAGAGAGAGAGAGAGAGAGAGAGAGAGAGAGAGAGGGGTCAGGTTTCTACAGAAGTTTGTTTTGGATCTCAAAAAGAGAAGAGGAGAGGAAAGGAAAGGAAAGGAAACAAGGAGAAAGGAGATAAGAGGAGAAGGTTTTTGATCGCATTGGAATGTGTGTGTGTGTGTGTGTCTGTGTGTGTGTGTGTGTGCTCCGCTGATAAGATTTCTCCTGCCTGTGAGCAGCTTTTACGTCACTAACTGACTGCCAGAGATGAATTCATGAGAACCGAGAGAACAAAAAATGAAAGAAGGAAAGAAATAGAAGGAGAGAGAGAGAAAGAGATGAGGAGAGAAGTTAGCATGGAAGGGAAAGTGCTGACTCAGTTCTCTGCATGTTGATCCATGAGTCAGAAAACCCAGAGACCCTGTGTGTGTGTGTGTGTGTGTGTGTGTGTGTGTGTGTGTGTGTGTGTGTCTTGGCTGTAACTTGACCCTAACATGGGAAGCTCCTCCAACATCTGACAACCATTACTGCTATCACACACACACACACACACACACACACGCACCCACACTGCAGTTTGCTGCGTCATACTCAGCTTTAATGGACCCATAACCGAGCTGTTAATGCAACAAGCCTGCTGGGGTCAAATGTCACCACCAGTTGGTGAACCAGTCAGCCAGATTCAGATTCAGATCACATTGAGACTGAGACAGAATGTACAATGAAGTCAAATCAAATGAAAACAGTTAATCCACTTTAAAATCGGCTTTAAGATCAAATATGAAACAAAAGTGCAAGTGACCAACTAAGAGACTTGAGGATTAAAATGCATTTCATACTGATGGCTTGAGGAATAAAACAGTTCTTTTATCTTCTTTTGATTTTATTTTGTAGAAGTCTCTTTCCCCGTGTCAGGTCGCTGCGCCTGAATTTGGAGTGAAGGGTTGTGTACTATCATGTAAAGTTATTTCCATTTTTGTAGTAGTGGCTGCAGCCCGGCTTGTTCCTGTTTGGGCATGTTTCCAAACACACAGATAAGACCAAAAGACAGAACACTCTAACATACGTGTATAAAACATACAAATCTGACAGTGTACGTTTAAAATGGCTGCCTTTGTGTACAAAGTACATTCTCTGCTGCAATTCACTGCTTTTTGAAGTGGCAAAGTGACCATTTACATTATTCCATTATTTATTGTAATTATTTTGTGGCAGGCGGTGCCGTTTTGTTTTCTTCTAAAAAACAATTACCATCTCTTTAGTTTTCTTGAAGTTTAAATCCAAGAAATTGTCTGTGCACAACTGTGCAAAAGTTGTCGTGTCTTCCTCAAAAGCACCAAGAGAAGCCTGATTAAAGTACAGGAAGCCCACTATGTAGATTTTCTTGATTTTCAGACTGGTGTTGTGGATTTGGAGCTCGTCATGGTTAAACATTATGTAATGATACTCGTTACCCGGAGAGGGTGACGGGGAGACGTTTCTACATAAAACCTCAAGCTCCTAAATGTATAAACATGCTGCTTTTGCTTTTTAATGATTGTAACAGTGAATAAAGACCTACCCGGCTTTTCAGCAACAGTGTTGTGACTTAACTTCTTCTGTCTCGATCTCCAGGTGATGAGGTGGTTTACTTTTACACTGTGATCTTTATCTTTTTAACCCGTTTTCACTGCTGAATCAGTTTGTCATCCCCCTAAAATCACTTAAAAATGTTTTTTTAAATGTTATAATTCGGGGAGTGCAGTTAGTGACAGTGTGGGCTCCATGGTGATGTAGCTCTGACAGCTTGACGGAGGAGCAGCGAGGGGCGGGGCTTAGCAAAGGGTCAACTCAACGTTATTTGCTGGTCTGCGGTTTACAAAAAAACTGCAAATTCACTTAATCAGCATCTACTTGACTCCCATATTTGCTAGCTTCTGCTCATGGTGGAGAAGCATGGGATACAGCGGAATTCCTGCAGGGCATGCTGGGAGATGTAGTCAGATTCTCCAGCGGCTAACTGGGCTTCAGTCTGCTCCAGTGGTCGAAGTAACTATAGAGACATGTGAAACAATGCAAGAGGCCCCAACCACACAGATTTTCTGGGTGGTTGGTCACAAGCCAAAAAAGTTTAGAACCACTTGTTTAACCTTAAACAATGTGTTGTATTTTATAATACAATCTTTATCTATAAAGTGACCAGTAACTAAAGCTGTCAGGTAAATGTAGTGGAGTAAAAAGTATGCAATAGAAAAATAAAAAAGTGTTAACACTTGCAAATGTGTCTGTTTTTACAACCTAATAATGACAGTACAATAGACTACACATGTCTGAGGAGATTGTACTTTTACCTCTCTACATTTTGTAGTAGGTCCTACTTTTCCTTAATCATTTTGCATGCAGGACTTTTACTTGTAATGGAGTATTTAAACAATGTTGTATTGATTCACTTAAATGATGTGAGTACTGACCATGGTTTCATGAAACGTAATGACACACACATCTATGAGCTTTTGACGGATTTACCGGTGTTGACTTTTCATCTAAAAGGAATCTATTCTTCTAGCGTGGAGGATAAGAGAAGAGGAAGAGGAGAAGAAGAAGAACGAGGAGGGGTGAAGAAAACAGAGGAGGGGAGTTGTGGAGAAGGGGGGGTAGAGGAAGAGGAGGAGGTGAAAGTCTGAATAAGCGGCTCCTCCCGCTTCCTCGAGCTGCCTGCAGACCGGACAGCGGCAGCAGAAAAGCACCAATCAGCAGGAAAACCACGTCCTTATTTGGATCTAACTCACCGTGAGTGACCGAGACTTCACCGGAGCTCCGTGAACGTGACTCCAGTTGAACATGCTCTCCCCGGGACTCTGCGTGTCTCTGCTGGCCGTGTCCTGCGCCCTGGGGCCGGCTGCGGTCCGGGCGGCGTCCTGCGAGTCGGTGCGGATCCCGCTGTGCCGGTCCATGCCGTGGAACATGACCAAGATGCCGAACCACCTCCACCACAGCACGCAGGACAACGCGGTGCTGGCCATCGAGCAGTATGAAGGGCTGCTGGGTGAGTTCCTGTCTGTCCACTAATTATCCCGCTAATCAATTCTTTAATGGACTTTAATTAACTCCCTCGCGCCTATACTGTACAGAACACTAAAGTTTCAAGTCAACTTTTGCACTTTATGACAGTGGAGCATCCAGATCCTGTTGTGGTTTTATTTGTATTTATTTTGACCATTCCTCCTCTGTGCACAACGTGCAGCTTGAAGTTGATATTTCAGACTTTTTTAAGGCTCTTTTACAACTATTTATGTGAAATATTACTTAATTCTTAAAACATTAAGACGAGATTTTTTTTAATTATTATCATGACACAATATAGGCCTATTAATGACATGTGAGTTATATATCCTTTAAAATAATAATATTTTAAAAGATGTATTTAGCCTATGTTTAAAAGATCAAGAAAATATCATCTGCAAATTTGATCTATTAAATCTTTTTTTTAAAGCAAAAATGCCTAAACCTCATTGGTTTCAGTCTCTCAAATGTGAATAGCTGTGAGTCTTATTATTGTTCTGTAATTTGAGTTGAATATTCGGGGGAAAGCAATTTGATTATTTTAAGCTATCGGAAATTATGATAAATTGATGAATCAAAAGATACTTTGGATTATATATTATTCAATAATAAAACTAATGCATTTTAATGCTGCAAACACAGAAATTGGAGAGACAAAACCCGGGACAAAAACTTTATATATCATTTAGGTGAACTGAACCTTGACTTGATATGTCTCGGTCGTTTCCAACAGATGACTGGCAGCTGTTGTTGCTTGTTCTTCTTCTCCTGTTTAATATCTGCAGGAGATCTGGTTTGAACTCTTCTGACTGAGCAATAGGAAACCTTAAACCATCAGTTCATGGAAACATTTTTGTGGAAACCATCATTTTAATTAAGTTTACTCAAGAAGGGAAAAACATTGGCTCCCGTTGCAGCAGTCAGTGATGAAGCAGCCTGATGTTGAGTTACAGAGTTACAGCCTACTGTTGGTTTCTGGTTTGACTTAAGATCCAAGACAGTCAGACCACATATCACTGTCCTGGGTAGTTGCTATAGGGACATTTCAGTCACTCAGGCCTTCATCAAATTGCTTACAGGAAGAACGTTGAAAATACAAACTTCTGGTTGAAACTTTTTGAACATCACAATGATGAACGTCATCACGTACGACATCAGACAAAATAGGAAATTATTTTCAAAATCGATAAATCTTTTTTCTCGTACAGTCATCAAGTCTATAAACATATAGTTTTCCAGAGCAAGAGGTGATGTCATCAAATGTCTTATCTTGACTAAAACCTGAAGATTACAATCACTATGATGATCAGTCAAGTGAAAGCGTCCTAGAATCATCCTAGTTTTGCTTGAAAAAATGATTAATCCTGTCAATTTCCTGTTGATTGACTAAACAATTAATCGACTGATCGTTGAAGCCCTAATGTTCATCGTTTTCACTTTTCACAATGTCATACGCACGTCGTTCTTTAAATGTAATTGTGACAGTTTTATGATCAAACCTGAGCTTGTTGAGTCTAACACGTCATCAAAATAACCACATTTCAGTTTGGGTAAATACCACATCACAGTAAATATGAGTGGGTCAAAACAACACAGTGGTTTTGAGTGTGTACAGGAAAATTTAAAAAAAAAAAGTTTCACTTGCATCTGTTTACTTTTCAAAATGTCAGTTTACATTTCAGCTGTTTGGCGAGTGCAAAACCTGTAAGCATAAACTGTGCAGGCGTCATAGTTTACATCACAAATAAATGTCCAAGAGCTTCTGCTTCTGCTTCTGCCACCATAGAAATAACATACAGAAATAGAGGATTTCCCTCCCTGTCACTGAAGCACTGAATACTTTCCCATGTAAGCACCTGGACGTCAAACTGATAAGTGGATATGCTGAAAAGGATCAAATGATTGTAAATTATTGGCTTTGTGCTTTTTTCCCACCTGCAATACAAGATGGAGAACTTTTAACTTAAATACACGGTCACATAGTCTAAGGAAGAGAAAAATAAACATCAGAACATTTTTATCACGAATTATTCCCGCTTCTTTTTTACAATGTGAAACTCCTTCGCACAATGTACAGCAGAGCTGACAACATATCGCTGTGTCAATATCATACCTTCACACTTCGTCATGGCTTCATCATATCTTATCACACCCGGTCCTCCTCCTCCTCCTCCTCCTCCTCCTCCTCCTCTTCCTCCTTTCTCAGGTCCATGCACTGCTTCCAACTAAAAGATAAAAAAAGAGACCAAATCATTATTTTTGTAGTTTCTCTTACAACCTGCCAATCAAATACAGAGTTAAAAGTTTTTTAATTTTTTAAAATTTTGATCACTTTGATCTCTGCCATAAATTTTTTAACTTTGAAGGTTCAGGATTTCAATAGTTCAACGGACTTGAACTTGTTACCCTGTTGAGTTTTTTGACTTTTCTCCTCCACACACCTGCTGATACTAGATGTCACAAACTCTGTGTGTTTGATAAGTTGAGCTGATAATGCTGCTCTTCAAATCTGCACGTTCGGTACATACACAATCTCCATCTGTATGTATTGTTTACACAGATTATATTTTTACCTTGTACAGTATATCTACAGTTTCACTTTCTTTATCTGGATGTCTGTCTCTGTAGAAAGTATATTAAACACGTACAAACCGTGAATGTCACTGCAACCATTAATCATTTTTAAAGCCTCAAGCTGTTTACCACATCGATGCTCCTTTTTAAAAAGCTAATGTAGGAATGTGGTGGGACCTAGACGCTATGTCTAGGATGTGACAGTATACAAGATGCTCCAACAGAAGAGCTTGTCAGATGGTCAAACAGCGCCTGAAACCCACTTTCCCCATCTTGGTAATGTCAAAGTCACTCTCTTTGACTATCTTTGACATATTCATCTTTAAAACGTAAACATTATTTTGGGTTTTTGTTTGGGACAATTTTCACTTCTCATTGCCGCTTGTTTTTAGCCATGCTAGCCATGCATTACTAAATAGTATGCAAAGTCGGATTGTCCACCACTTTGGTCCAGGCAGAAATATCTCAACAAATATTGGAATGATTGCCATGACATTTTGTACAGACATCCATGTTCCCCAGAGGACGAACACTACTGACTTTGGTGATTTCAAAACCTCACAGATCGTAAATACAGCCCCACAGAGCTGCTAGTTTGGCTGTAGATTCTTGCTCCTGAGCTGTTCTTGTTGAGTTACTTTTTAATATTTGTCTCCTTTTCCACGATTATGATTTAACTATTCTTTTCACATATTTCTTCGTTTTATTTATCTAAATATGTGCTGCTTATTCTGTTTCTTTCTGGCCAAACTTTTTTTTTAAATGAACTATATCTGATTCTTAATTCTTGTGGTTTTCTTTTAAAGAACCATTGCTTCATATTTCAGACACTTGTTAAGACATAGACACTTTCCTATATCCACTTTTGGTGTTATTTTTTTTATTTTTTCCCTGTGAATAACGGTTAAAATATCTCTGTGCAATTCATAAAGATATTTGAATTGCAGGTACAATCTTCAAATATATGAGTTAGCTGTTTAGCTAACTGTATCTATCTTTGAACAGAACTTATTGTATGATGCAAAAGTTTGTGGCCACGTTCATCTGTGTTCATCTGTGTTTTGTGCTGAGCTTCAGGCTTTGTGGCCCATTTTTAAATATCCTAAATCAAATTTAAAAGCATGTGGACAACCTCATCGGCTGCAATTATATTTCATGATGCATACACGTCTGTCTCCAATAAGTACATTGGTGTATTGGTTGAAGTTAGAGCTCAGCTGAGGTCGGAGGAGTGGAGAGAGAGAAAGTGGAAAGGCAATCGGCTTTAACCAGAAAAATGTCCTAATGAAAGACCTGCAGGCTCAAAACCAGGAAGCAGTTTCAGGTCACAAGTTCAAAGTATTTCTGTGACTCCATTGTGGAGCTGTGCAGCCAAACCTCAGTCCTGTAATAAAAAACACATATTCCTCCTCTGCCCACGCTCTGAGAAATAATGGTAACTAGAACCATATCGGGTTCTTTGGCTTGTCCTCATGGGAGAGCCTCTTTTGGTTCTAGATAGAACCATTTATAAAGGTTCCACCTGGAACCCTTTCAGAGGGTTCTACATATAACACACACGTACAGGTTATACCTAGAGTTATCTGTGAAAGGTTCAATCCAGAACCCTTTTTGAGAGGTTCTATAAGGAACCCTTCCATGGTGTAATGATTTCACCCAGAAGCCTCCATGAGATGTTCTACAGAGAACTCTTCTATGGTCTAATGATTCCACCCAGAAGCCTCTATGAGATGTTCTACAGAGAACTCTTCTATGGTCTAATGATTTCACCCAGAAGCCTCTATGAGATGTTCTACAGAGAACTCTTCTATGGTCTAATGATTTCACCCAGAAGCCTCTATAAGATGTTCTACAGAGAACTCTTTTATGGTCTAATGGTTTCACCCAGAAGTCTCTATGAGATGTTCTACAGAGAACTCTTCTATGGTCTAATGGTTTCACCCAGAAGTCTCTATGAGATGTTCTACAGAGAACTCTTCTATGGTCTAATGGTTTCACCCAGAAGTCTCTCTGGGGGTTCTATCCAGAACCTTTCCACCTTCTAAGGAAGCTAAAAAAAACACCCAAGGAGTTATACCAAGAAATCTTTTATATTCCATGGGTGTCATCGAGAACCCACCCAGGGGTTCATAGTTTTTGGGTGTGTATATACGCGACTGCTCTTACGGCCTTCATCACCCTTACCCTGGTTTTACTTTAACAAGGTAGCCTGCGGTCATGGAGACCTGATTCAGTGGCCCTTTGGTTTTGAGAGGTTCCTAAAGGGCTGATGTGCTCCAGGGTAATACTCGTGGTTCACAAATGTTTTGGGGGGGGGACTTTCAACAATCCTTGAAGAACTTTTCCTTCCAAAAAGCCTCCTTTGGATGAAAAGGTTTCTTAACGGAGGCCATAGTCTTACAAAGAACTATTTCTTCAAAAAAAAGGTTCTTCAGAAGCAAATGGTTCTCGGTAGAACCTCAGCTCTTCAGGAAGAACCCTTTTGGAACCCTTGTTTCTAAGTGTGTGTGTTGAACTTTTTCTGGACCCATCATATGTGAACTGTATGCAGCAGGGTGAAAATCAGTATAGGTCCTGTGTGTGGTTGGCCAGATGTCCCTGAATGCACCACACATTCACCGATGTAAGAGGACTTTCAAATGTCAGTCAATGAGAAACACCTAAAACACAGACATGGTTTCCTCAAATACATCCAAAAATGGAAAAGGAAAATTCTGTAGCTAAAGTATCATTATCGTTTATATTTCCTCACACAATATGTTTTTTAAGGCCACTTTAACTGACTCAACTTGTAACACACCTGTCCGTGTTTTCCTGCCGGTTCAGGAACTGGCTGCAGTCCGGACTTGCTCTTCTTCCTGTGTGCCATGTACGCTCCCATCTGCACCATCGACTTCCAGCACGAGCCCATCAAACCCTGTAAAGCGGTGTGCGAGCGGGCGAAGTACGGCTGTGAGCCGGTGATGAAGCGTTACAACCACAGCTGGCCAGACAGCCTGTCCTGCAGCGAGCTGCCGCTGTACGACCGCGGAGTCTGCATCTCGCCTGAGGCCATCGTCAAGGCAGAGGGACCAGGTATCACTACGCTTGTCATTCTTATCATTATTATTCCTGTGACTCCGAGGGCTGCTGAGATCTCATATGTGTCAAAACTAGCTAACTTAAATACAAGTCTGTCTATCATGAACATTCAAGTTCATGGACAGGCAACAGGTAGAGGGAGGACCAGCACACAGAACCTCTCAGCTATACATATTAATCTGATATACGTTTAATGGAGTATGGAGGCTACTTCTAAATAAGGATATTTCACCCTCTTCTCTGAAAAACATGGACCATCAGGAAGCAGTTTCCCCTGCGTAGCTGAGTCGTATCACTGTTTTCTATCATGTTTCTACCCTCAGAAGTTTGTTTCTGCTCCCTCTCGAACAGACAGTGCGAGTCATTTCCCCACCGACTTCACTCCCACTGATTTTCTCAAAGAGCTCCTTGATACAGGCGGCCCACTCGTTTTACACTCAATAAAACCTTCACTGTCCTCTGCTTCTTTAAACAGTCCCTCGACCAGCAGGTTCTGAAAAGAAAAACTCATCTCAATCCCCTTGACCTCCATAACGATACGCCCACGCATCTCAGAGCGGCCCTGGCTCAGCAGGGTTTTGGGATTTTCCCTCAATGTGATTTGTTGATTTTCTGAGGTTCAGCCAGGGTGGACAAGTCATTCCTGGGGTTTTCAGTGGCCAGTCTCCAGTCTGAAAGTTGCCATTAACAAGCTTGTCTCTGGTTGGAACAGAAATCAAAAGCAGCCACAGTTTGCCTTTTTGTTTCCAATCATCGCGAAACTTGGTGGTGCATTCAAAGACGCGAAAATTACAGCCCTGCTGTCACAAAATAAAACCCAATAAAAAGTAATCGTTCACCTGGTGAGAACAGGTGATGAGTAAGTAAACAAGACTGTGAGTCTTGTGGCTATACTTGTGTTTTACTACCAGCTCCTTCTGGATGTCTGAGCTCCCAAAACCAATTAGGAGAAACATTTTTTTAAGGCTCTAACAACAGCAAAATTACTTTGTTCTTTCCAACGCTTTCATTTTGTGGCTGTAATGAACACTGCAGCCTAAGAGTGTATGGTTAAAACCGCAAAGTGGTTTAATATTTGTCATTCTCTGTGCACAATTTCTGACACTGTCTGTCCGTGTCTCTCTAGATCCATACTACCAGGACCCAGCCAGGTGTAACCCGGGTGAGCCTGACCTTTGACCTTCTCTCTGCCCAAACTGTGATTGCTTTCCTATAAGTTAGCTTGTTTGTGTTAGCTGATTATTGGACACATCATCATAAATATAACATACCACCTCAGAATCGTCACAAAAAGACCAAACAACAACGCAGCCAGCCAGTCAGTTCTGCTTCTGGAAACCATGTATCTCTCACTAACATGCTAATGTGCATCTAAATACAAATAGAAACAAGTTTCACCTATATTTTCTAAATAGCAGATTTTTTCTGGGTTTGATCCTCTCACAGAATCCAGTCCAGACTTTCCAATGGACTCCAACAACCTGCACTGCAGAGGACCAAATGGAGGTAACCTGTCTGTTTACCTGTCTCGACGGCCCAATCGTAATGTACACACTCACGGATTCACAGACTTTGAGTCGCGTTCTTTCAAAGTGCAAGAGGGCTTGGGGCTGTCCCCGCTGTCAAATTGTCGAGTGCTTAATTTTAATCCCTTTAAGCACACTTTCTGTAAGTCCGCATTTCTGCACAATTCATAGCATTGTGACGTTAAACGCTGAGTTACCAGGGGAAGTCTGATGGCATAAAAAAAGAAGTTAACAAAGAGGACAGCACATGGGTATTTAACCTCGCATTAAATAAGTTTACACAGAAACGTTAAACTTAAGGAATCCTTAAGGAAATATGGACTTTTAAGGGGGTGGAGCCTGAACATAGATTCTGTTTTTCTTTGAAATAGTATGATCCCCATGATCCCTCACTCTGTTTCTTTTGTGTCTGTCTGTAGATCGCTGTAGGTGTAAGATAGTCAAGATGGGTTTGAAAAACTACCAGAGGAACAACTACAACTATGGTGAGTCATCTCCGACTATCACACGTTTCTTTACAAATATGAGACAGAAGAATCCGTATTCAGTGTCGTGACGTCACCCGTTGGTTTGTGGACTGCCGTTTTGAAGCCTCGAGTCTGGCGTTTTGGCCGTCGCCATCTTGGTTTACGGCTGCCGCCATCTTGGCTTTTTTGCAACCAGTGAACAGAAGTGACCATATTTGGACGGCGGAAGAGTGATGTAGAGACGCCGTATACAGCTCCGGTAGGGTAGCGACCTGTCAATCACAAGGCAGCCCCGCCCTAAAGTATACTTCGCTTTATGGTCTGTTTGACTCTAAATGGACCATACTTTACTAAATGAACATCATGCTGTATTGAAGAAGACTTGAAACTAGAGATTGAGACCATGAACTCATGTTTACAATGTTTACTGAGGTAATAAATCAAGAGAGAAGTAGAGTCATTTTCTCATAGACTTCTATACAACCAGACTTCTTTTTGCAACTGGATGAGTCGCCCCATGCTGGTCAGTAGAGATACTGCAAGTTTAAGACACACTTAACACACTTCACTCTTCAGAACCGGAGGTTGCCGTCTGCATGCAACTTAAACTTAAAGCTAGTTGTTGGTACATTTCCGAATCAAACCTTTAAGCTTTTACAGTGAGAATGTGGTCTGTGCATCACATGTGGCAGTCATTCGTCTCTTCTCAACACTACACGTGAGACATCAACGTGAGACTAAACTCTTCAGCAGATTCTTTCTCTCTGACTTGTTTTTCTCCTCCATGTAGAGGGGAATATTCTGGTGCTGAGGCTATTTGGTTTCTTAGATTAAATTAGACACACTAACCGTGAAAGCCCAGAAAGGCTATTCCAGATGATTACAGCACACAGGCATGATTTGGCAAATCCGACAGAGATTTCCATGTGGACTTATTGAGCTTGCGAATGCGTCTTTGGCCACAGAATCCATTTGGGGAAGATTTTAGATTTTCTTTCCAGCCGTCATCAAGAACAAGAGCTCACTTACAAAATATTCAGATATAATTAAAATGGAGGAGTTTAGTGAAGCATGGTGGCATGTCAGAGTGTACAACAAGGTGGTCTTTATAATTTGACTGCTGGCGTGCTCACTTTGCTAATTAACACTGCTGTTGATTTTACTGTTGACTCCAACCTGCTACACCACACATACTGTTACTGGTTGTGCTGTTTTTCTTGTTTCTTAATGCAATACGTGCGATGGTGTCTCCGTTCTTGTTTGCACCAAAGTGCTTTACAAAGACATATATATGAGCTTACTATTACCAGCATTGAGACATTTATGTGCATGGAAATTAATACTACAAGACAGAAATAGAAACAAGAAACACAATTTAAACCCAGGGAATTGGATAAAACCGGTTAAACACAATTAAAAACTAGAGAATAAAAGTAAGTGTATCTTAAAAGCATCAACAGACTCGGCCCGTCTAAAAGCCGCATTATATTAATTTGTCGCTCTGTTACTCCTGGAGCTTTTATTGTGCTTTCCGCGCAGTCCCACACTGCTTGAATTCATTAAGGGAGCCTTTTCTAAGAAAAACATAAAGGTTTACCTGGTTCTCCTGCAGTGGGCTGCTGCTGTTGGGCATCCTGGATGGTTGTATCCATAAAACCTATAAAACAGCAAGTACCACAAAGTGATAGAGAGACAGTGGTGAAAACAGAGAGGAGGGCCTCCAGGTTACAGGTGTCTCATATTTCGTTGTTGGACCCGAAGCAGGATGACAGAAAAATTGTTGAACAGTTTCAAAGAGGACAACTAGAAAAACACAAGAGGTTTATTAATTGAGAGGTTAAGACCAGTGAGTCTGAAGAAGCAGGTCATTTTGGGAGTTTAGCCCACAGTAGTGTGTTGGCTCTTCATTGGCCACATGTCCCTCAGCTCTTGTAGGACACAAATGGGCCCACAGTTGGCTACAACTGCAGTCCTGTTGGCCCCAAACTACGGAAGCATCCAATCCACGCAAACTTTGACCTCCATAACGCCATCACTGTCCGTAGAACCGTCTGTCCTTTCAGCACCAAGGACAGCGGCCGGTCTTCCGGCTGAGTGATTATAAGAAATACAACCAAAACTATTGATGTGTTCGATGGACAAATAGTTTCAAGTATAGGCTGTATGAAAACTATACTGGAGAAATGGTAAATGGTTGGAATAATGTGTTTTATTCACTTATTTTGATTTGTATTTATTAAATTGCACCAGAGAGATGTGGGCAGCGATTCAGAGGTCTGGAACAAGACCACAGCGAATTTGAGTAATCACTTAAGGTGTTATTCTTTAAACCAAGTCTTTAACTCTTTAAAGCCTGCCCTGCGAGCTCAGTGTGAGATTTAAACTCCAGTATCCAATGTGTCCATGTATGCTGACGACTCTCTCCTTCAGTGATCAGAGCGAGGGTGAAGGAGGTGAGGAACCGCGGTCTGGAGCCCACAGCAGTGGTGGAGGTTAAGGAGGTGCTCAAGTCTTCTCTGGTCAACATTCCCAAGGAGACGCAGACGCTCTACTACTCTTCCTCCTGCCTGTGTCCTCCTCTGTCTCCTGGGGAGGAGTACCTCATCATGGGCTACGAGAACGATGAGACATCCAGGTATGAGTATAGAGTTGGAACAGATAGTAAAAGTATTGTTATAGACGTCATGATTTCCTCAAGGAAATTGGTTGGATAAATGTCCAGCTAGTCGATTATATCTTTAAGCTTCAACTCAATGCAGGCTCCTGAGGCAATTTGTGGTTAGCAAACTAAGTTGCAGTGCAGCAGCCACTGATCTGGCTAATTGTCTCGTCTTTTTACAACTCGTAAAAACTCAGATGTTTGTTTTTTTATCGTGACATGCTGCACTGACTAAACGTAGCACCACTACTTGTTTCCCTGAAGATTAATAACATCGTAATAATTTCTTCTGAGGTAAGCTGGGGTCACCTCCACTGTAAAACCCTGTGAGTAGCTCTACATAAACCTCACCGTGTTTGTGGTTGCAGGTTGCTCCTGATTGACGGATCCATTGCTCAAAGGTGGAAGGAAAAAATGGGCAGGAAGATCAAGGTGCGAATCTAATACAAAGACAGCAACTATTTTACATGTGAAATAACGGTGGAGGCTTTATAAGTTGATTCTGAATTGCATTGAAGTGAACTGTTTTACGTGCACAGCCTGTTGCACCATCTTAACGACAGTTTGATTGGAAATGTTGGGTATAAAGTCAACACCGAATGTAAGCAGTTCGTTTTTTGGAGTAACAGATTATTAATTTCCCTTCCTGTCTGTTTGTCCAGAGATGGGATCAGATCCTGCAGGGGAAAGGCCGAGCAGCTCAGCGCCGGAGTCGCCACTGAGATCTGACTGTGTGTGTGTGTGTGTATGTGTGTGTGTGTGTGTAGTTATTGCACTATCACAGGCTGTTGTAGCTGAATGTAGTTCATCTCTTCATCTGTCAGATTTTTGTCATTTATTTTCTTTGCATAAACATTAATTAGTGTGCGTTTAGTGTGTGAGTTTGTGAGTGTATTTTCTATGTGTGTGTGGTGTGTATGTTTTTGTATGTGTATGCGGTGTGTGTGTGTGTGTGTGTGTGTGTGTGTGTGTTTGCGCGTGTGTGTATATACACCTAAAGCACTCAAAAAGACAAGAGAGGGGGTGGACCTGTAGTACTAAACCCTACGCAAAGCCATACATTATGTACATGACACTTTTTTGGAACACATTTATTTTCAGTGGCGGCCATGTTGCCTCCACAGCCCCTCTCCATGGTCACAGTCTTTTGATGTTGGCCGTGTTACCATGGCGGTGTGACGGGTCACGGAGGACATTAAAAGCCATTTGGACTTGGACATTTTGGTCCACGATAGATCTGTAGCCATGACCTTGATGTTAGTGAACTCTGCGAAAAAAGGAAAGTATAATATTCACACTTTGTTCAGACAGCAACAAGACCAACAGCAACCACTGCAACGAGACCATCGGCAACTACAGCAACCAGGAACAACAAGGGTAACAACAGCAGCAGCAGAATGTTGGCAGATGGAAAGTTGACATGAGTATTGTTGGATCCAGGGCCTCCTCTGGTGTGTCCCCATAACAGAAAACGACAAATGTCTGTTGGACAGGTTGTAAAGTTATACTGTAGGAAGAGTGTGGAGTGTGCCACTTTTTGTCTGCTTGTTTGAGTGATGTGATGTAATTCCTGTTGGATATTGGGGGAGGGGAGTTGGAAAAGGTACAGTCACATTAAACTTCCGACCTATGAATATTTGCTCAGAATCCAAACAATTTATATGGAAACCTGCATGACAAATTCTGTTTCGGTGCGATCTCCAGCCGGCTCCGGCAGTTCAGAGTTCACCTTTGTTCATCTTTGATTGTTCGGCCAGCCAATAAAAACACTGATACACTGTGTTTAGAAATGCAGATGTTATTCTAATGTCAGACATCACACCACCACACCACAAACTCAACATTTATAACCTGCATCAGAGCCGTACCGTCACGTCAGAAGACTAATGTGACCGTACCTCGACATGATATCTACATGTTACTGTTGCTTCTCGCTCTGGGTGTTTCAACATCTGAAAGCCTATAGGAGGTATTATTTGCAAGAATTGAGTAAATATGCAAACCTAGCAGCTTCTCCAACAATTTACAAGGCTTGCCGTGTCTTTGTGCAAGAGTCATACACACAGTAACTCTCTTCATGTAAACACACTAACACTCAATACTACACTACTTTTATCAGTAAACTATACTCAGATATGTTGAACTCTGGACTCTTCACAGCTGTTTGAACCAATAAAAATGAATTTAAAACGACATGGTCAACGTTGACGTCTGTTGGTATTTGTGTTTGTGTCTGGAGGGTTTTATTGTCACAATCAACTGTGCTTCATCTTCCTTTACCACAAGACTGGAGCCATGAAAAGTGCTGCATATGTCAAATAAAACAAAAGACAACTTTGTAAGACGGTGTGCCGGGAAAAAAGGTTTTACTGAAGGAACCACTTCAATGTAGAGGTTTTCACTACATGTACAAACTTGTCTTAAACAGTAAATCTGACATTGTCAGTAAGCTAATCCCCTCACTAGTGACTGAAAACACTGCTGTGAGGTTGGCTGTGATACACAGTACGTTGCTGCCTAAACAAACTGCAAATGCCACATAACCATAATGTGTTAACTCTTTTGCAAACAGCTGTTGCGTAGGCCTAGTTTTCAGGCACAAAACAGAACTTTCTACTGAAGAGAAGACAAAATCAGCGCGGAATGTCACGGCGGTATAAGATGTGAAGAAGTGTGCTACTTATTTTACTAAATAGTGAATAAAATACGCATCTTTGAACTGAACAAAACCATCTGAACCAGCTCAGTGATTTGTACTTTTCACCTGCTCTGTGCCACAGGGGGAAAATGGCTTCCAAGCTAGCGTTAACGTAAACAAGCGAGGCTACACTGCGTCTACACAGGCCAAATTGTACGGTTTTTGTTTCCATTTTTCATCCATGCAACAGTTTGGGTTTTCCGGTCTGGGTTGTATCTTAAATCCAACTTTCTTGACATGCAAAATTATCTTTTAAATTGTCAAACGTCACATATGTTATTATAATGTGTTTCAGAGGGCAGTGGTGCCGTTTAGTGAGCATTCATCTATAGTTTTAAAAACACATATAAAAGATGAGTCTAAAATTGGGCTGAAATAGACCTTCATAACACAGAGCGAGTATCAAACCAGAAGAAGAGAGGAGTTGAACCTTTAGACCTTCAGTGTTTTTTACTGATGGGAGTAAAGTTTGTTTAACAAAACAGAGCAGCAGCATTAAACACAGCCAGTATGTGTGTGTTGGTATGTTCAGTGTGTGTGTGTGTAGGCGGGCTTCCAGTAGTTCCTGCCTACTAATTTGCAGCAGTGTTTTCTCAGCTGCAGTTTCCATTAGAGGGAAGAGAAAATGTTTTCATGGATTTACTGCTATTACACCTCCTTATCCTCCTCCACTCTTCTCCTCTCTCCTCCTCTCCTCTCCTCCATGTTGACTTCAGATGACTGCCTCGGCTGAAAGCACACCTGGTGTTGGTATAAGGTGTAGTCTGTTCCTCCGCTCTGAGTGGCTCTATTCATGTTCTCGAGTGCTGACACAGCAAACAGTCACACACAGAATATTTTCATACTGACTGACCTCGTTGAAAGCAGGTAAAGCTGCGTGAAGGGATTTTTCAACACTAGAGGGCAGAAAGTCCACAAAGACAAACAGCTGGAAGCCTCGAGACACTGCATCAACTGAAAAAGTTCTTAATGCTAACACATTAAGCGAACATAAATAAAGGAGCAGAGTCATGTCATTGCAGTCAACTTTCTGTTTACCGGTTGAGTGTTTATTTGCTTTTGCTCAGGTCTGGACCAGTATTCTGTGGTGTTTTCACTCGTTTGGTCTGTGGTTCACAGCCACAGTTTGGTCTGATGTTCTCTGGTAGTCTGGCCCAAGTTTGTTCTATTCTCTGCTATTTTAGCTCAGGTTTGGTCCAACATTTGGTGATGTTTTGACCCAGGTATGGTCCAATATTCTATGTTTTTTTTTAGCCGTGGTTTGTCCAATATTGTCTTGTGCTTTTGCCTCGGCTTGTTCTAATATGATCTGGTGTCCTCGCCCAATCTGTACAATATTCTTGTTGGGTTTTAGCCCTGGTTTGGTCCGGTACATACTGGTGTTTTAGCCCTGGTTTGGTCCGGTACATACTGGTGTTTTAGCCCTGGTTTGGTCCGGTACATACTGGTGTTTTAGCCCTGGTTTGGTTCAATATTCTCTGTAGTTTCAGCCCTGGTTTGGTCGAATATTTGGTTTGGTCTTTTGTCCTTTTGGTACTTTTGGTGCTTTAGTTCAGTCCAGTATTACTGAGTGTTTTAACCCTAAACATATAATATTCATTTGTGTTTTAGTTGTTAAGAGTTAGGGGTTTGCTGTATGTCTTTAACAGTATCCAGAGAAATAGGAGCATCAAATACAAAGCGGTAAACTTTACATCTGTTAATCAGAGTACAGCGTCTGAGGAAGCGCTGCTGTCCAACTCAAACACGCACAAACCACAGCTTCAGCAATCCAACAGACATCGGACAAATCTGACATCATCATCCAAACACACACACACACACACACACACACACACAGTAATACCAGGTTGGTTCCCACAATACCTCAGCCAGTGTTTGTCCAACTTGTTGCTCCATTTCACATCATGAAACAACAGAACGCACACACAGTAAGTGGTTCCAGTGGTTTATGGAGCAGTGCTACGTCAATGCTGACCTCCAGCTGCCCGCAAAACACAGTGAGGGTGAGAAGGAGGGTGAGAGGGAGAGATATCCAGAAATGTCCTGGTCTAACAATATTCAGAAGTGGAAAGTACCTTCGGTCATTTGGATAATTACAGTGCGAGAGAACATTTTTAAGCAGTGGTATTTTACCTCCACTTGGTGAGACTTTCTACTTTTTACTGGATTCGTCTGATGGCTGGATTTTGTACCGAAAGATTATTTTAAAACTCCTAAAATCTGAAACAGAAGGATTTCTCCTAACTGAATAATGGTGGAATAAAGATGAATCACTTTGGTGTTCTTACAAAGATTCATAATCCATAAATATGTAGTTCATTCAAGGATCAATGTGGTCAGACTGTCTGTCGGTGTAACACTTTACTCCACTTTGTTGTTTTTCTCTGACTTTACTGTCTGAAATAAGCGCTTGACCAATGAAATCTGTGTCCGTTTAATGAGGTTTTGAGATCAGTAGAGTTCACGGAGGCAGCGCCAAGATTTTGTCATCGTTTCTCGACCCATCTGGTCCACATCTTATTGAACGAATTACCTGTGTCACCAAGACGGACTAGGGTCACCATAATAATACAAAACAGCTGAGAGTCTTTTCTCTCTCATACAAAAGACATTCTGTGTCCCTGTAAACAAAGAAAAACATTAAACAATCAGTCAGTAGAACTCGCCATCCTCTCGTCGCCTCAGCGAGACCCTGGACCATTGCTGAACTTAATATAACACAAATAAGAGAACAGTTTAGTCTTGGACTTTATTACTGTGCTAAATTTGCACACACATTTGTCGTATTAGAAATTCAGTTTGAAACCAGTGCACAAAGGTTTTATGATCACCCTGCTGCTGGTTTGAACTCTTTCAAACCCTTTTAGACCTTTTAGAGGCAGCAGTCTATGTGAGCTCTGCTTACAGGATTATTACCAGAGCAACCACCTACGTATATGTTTACGTTCACCATAACAAGAGATGTTCTCAATCCTGTGCTGAAGCTCGCTCCTGTACCAGCCTGCATGGTAATCAGTGTTCAGGTACTTCATGTTTCCTGTTGAACTCTTTCCCAGATGAACAGCAGAGCAGACGAGCAACAGTGTCGTCTGCTGGTTCAACTGGAAACACACAACTATTACGAACCATCAGAAAGCTGCATTTTTCTGACATTATCTAGAAAAGGTCCGTTTATCAAAAGACGTAATGTTCTTGTTTGTTTAGGGATTAACAACTTGTGTTGTTTTTCACATTAATAATCTACAGAATAATCAGACAGCGCTACCCTAAACCTACTGATCCGTCTTGTTCAGTATGCACACTTACTCTGTTTAGGGTCACTGAGGTTCCCAGCATGCATCACGGTCAGGTTAATCCATCGGATTACAAGGCTTCCTCAGCTCAATAGAAACTATAATATAAACACATTCTAAACCCATTTTACCTAATAAACATATTCTGGTTTGAGTGTGGACAGTGACACCTGCTGGTCATAGTAAGAATAGCTTATTTAATTTGAAGTTAATTATTTCCTCGTAATATCGTAATAGTAACAGACTCTCTCTCTCCTCCCTTCATTCGTATTTTCAGTGCAATTAATTTGCCAAAAAAAGACACAAAACGCACAACCAACAAACTTAAAGATGAATTAGACGGATGATTTTTTTCTATAGATATTGTGATAGCATAACTGTGTAGTGAAAATTTGATATTGCGAAAGCCCTATCAGTTGACTGATCCATTAATGGGCTAATAATTTAAGTTCTACATGACATTCTGACTTTGAGATATACTTTAAGTGAGAACAGGACGTATAGAAGCAGAATTAAAACTTCAGCAAAGGTTGTAAAACTGATGAGACTGCTGAAATCTTTTAACAGAAACACACCGTTTTATTCTGGAGGTCCAACAGTTTTTACATGAATAATAAAATACAACACCATGTCAACATCGGGCTCCGTGTGCGTGTGTGTGCGTCAGTAATATGTTCAGTAACCAGTGTCTCACAATTTTACTTCATAGAGTAAATACAAACAATGGAGACAAAATAAAAACAAATAAAAACAAGGCATTAGTGTTCAGTACATTCAACACAGCGGGTAACAGTCGGTGCCCAGTCCGTCTGTCTGTGTGTTGGACTTTTCAAGGAGTGTTGACTGATTGATCATTGTGCTGGACCAATCAAATCCACCGCTGTCCCTCCCTGACCAATCAGATTGCTGGTCTCTCCCATGGTGCACCGGCTCAAGATCATCAGAGCTCGTCCTGCCAGAGAAAAAGACGGACGTCAGACGCTGATTCTCTGTCTGATTTGTGTTTAAAATGCTGCGTTATCGGACCGTTACCTTCCGTTTGTTGTGCAACTGTGGCGTCAGCTGTTGTAGTCGCTGCGTGACGATGTCAGCTATCACGTTGGAGTCCCGGCTATTGATGTGTTCTCCGCTGTGTTCATGCTGTCAGCACACAAACTTACAAGTTTAGGCTTTAAAATGTATTAAAAAATTTTTTTTTAAAGTTTAACAATAAGGTACTTTGGTACTGTTAGGTGATATGATTGCTATCACGGTTGTGTGGCCTGGCTCAGGTTAAACCCTTTGAAAAACATGAACAAATACATACAGAGTACAGTTTTACTGGTGGGATTTTCCAGTGTTCAACGTTGCCAAATTGCTGACATTTTGCCACCTCTAGCACACGTTGCTCTCTCTGCTAGCACCTGCACAATCTGTACTGCACATGTGCAACACTCAACTGAGATGAGGAAGAAGCGAGAGGGCTCTTTATGTATTGCCATCATTGATTTTGGATGCAGACATCGTTTTTCTTCCGGAGCTGTCGTAGCTAACGACAGCAATCTTGCTTCTGTTTAGTTTTACGTGTTCAGTACCGATCGGGCAGGATGAACAGGTTGGGTGGCGAGTGAAACGCTGTTTGTGTAAATGACGCAGCATTTTAAGCTGTATTGGAGGTATTTCTGATACTGGAACAACTCTTATTTATTTCTCTGAAAATGCTGCTGCTTCGCGTGTGTCCTCACCCTCCTTGTCCCCAGGTACGGGTAGAATCTGACGGTTGGGTAGGCGGTGATTCCAGCTGATTGACAGGTCTGATGATGAGCCTGACAGTCCACCTTCCCAGCTCGAACCTTCCCTTTCAGAACCTGTCAATCACACAGAGAACATCCTCATAAGAGACTTTTAAGAACACGTCAATGTGTGTTTTTCTCTCTGCGACTGACAGGAACCACAGAGCAGAAGTTAAAAAGAAAAACGGTGTCTCACCCGAGCCAGGACCTCAAACTCTGGGGCGAAGTGTTGACAGGGTCCACACCAAGGGGCGTAAAAATCCAGGATCCAGTGATCCTGACCTGACAGAACCTGAGACCTGAAGGACTCTGGGGTCAGGTCCACCGACGCTCTGGGTAAGGAGCTGCACACACAAGACATTAACACGATTATAAGACTCTGCATCGACACAATTATTGATTCTTTAGACACAAGAAAGACAGAATATAGAGAAAGAAAGTCTCACCTCAGTGCCCATGATCTCAGTGACTGGGAATCTCTGTTCCAACCATTATAACTCCTGAGGAGACACACAGAAAGATCAACAAGATCAATAAACTCTTAACATCTTCAATCTGTCACAATGGGTTGGGACTGTATGAATTGTATTCGGCCTCACTAAACATGTTCACTAGTTCTGTACTGGATGTGCAAAGATGAAACCGACATCCATCTTCTCATCCGACTCTGGGGAACCAAGTTTCCCCAACATGCTGTACATAGTTTGTACAGACATTGTGCATGTAACACAGTGTCTGTACGGACAGGAGGAGTACTTTAAAGTGCGGTGCATACATGTAGCGATCTGGCTGCCGGGTGTTGCCGAGATACAGGCGGATTTCAGGGTACGCCCTCACGCTCTGACCCTGACAGAACGACTGAAACCGCTGACAGTCAACTGAGCCAACCAGGACCTGACCGGACAGCAGCTGGACGGTGAGACACAGACAGAAAGAGACACACAGGTTAGACACGTTACACTAATCTAGAGAGTGGAATTCACTGAAGAGACAATGTTGTGTTGTTTATTTGAGTTTAAATCAGCCGGTCTTTTATCAGCTCAATGTAGGCGTATCAGAGTCAGTGTATATGTCAGCAGATAAGTGGTAATATATTCATTTAGAAACTGTCTCTACTACATAGTTTGTCCACCAGAGAGAAGTGACAAGTTGCGTCTTTTCGCAGCGCGCGTGCGTCTTTTTATTATTTTTATGCATCTTTTCGCAGCGCGCATCTTTTGCAGTGCGTGTGTGTGTGTGTGTGTGTGTGTGTGTGTGTGTGTGTGTGTGTGTGTGTGTGTGTGTGTGGTACCCTGGCCATGCGTCTCCACTCTGGAATCAGAGCCTGACAGGGGCCACACCATGGAGCGTAGAAATCAACCGCCCAGATCTCCCCCTCAGCTCGACCTGCAACCAACACAACAGGAGAATACAATAAGTAATAAGTAGTAACAACAGTAGTAGTTAGAAAGTTAGAAGAAGAACTTGGTCTATTCAGTTAGACCAGTCAAGCCTGAATAGTGTAAATTCCAAACATCCTCCCTTCCTCCTCTGAATTCTGAGCTTTGTGTTTTCAGTGCGATGAGAAGGGAACACGTTATTAGAGACGCCGTTAAAACATATTGGAACTTAATTGGAGTGTCATGTAACCATTAAGCTCCTGCAGTTTACAAACTGCTAATGCGCTAACAGAGCGAAACAGCCTGAAGTGGTTGCACAGTAAAACCCTTTTTTTTGGTTTGACAGCACTTCTGGTTTTATGTCTGGTGGATTAGCTCTATTAAAGCACAGAGCCGAAGAACTAAACAGTTTAGTGCAACTAACCCCTGGTCTAGCCGCTAGGACCAGGACTTTCTGTTGCTCTAAGAACTAGTTTTACCTTTAACTTTCTCGCTGAAGCTGGAAGGATCCAGGACCAGCACTGATGGGCTGACCAGATCCTGCAAAGACAGAGAATTTATTTCAGCCAAAGACGTTCTTCACTTGACGCTTTATATTTAAAACCATTGTTTCAGGAAGGTGGCAGCAGTAAGAATCAATCCCTGCTGGCAAAATCACAAGGAGTAGCGTGCTTTATGTCATACTAGCATGTCATTGGTATGTAGTAGTACCTGTATGAACTCCAGGATGCCGTCAGCTGAATGTTGTCCTTCATATTCATGAACAGAGGAGCCGTTAAATATCACTGTGGTGGGATAAGCCTGAATATTATACTGACAAAACAGAGAGAAAGACAAAACAAATGATCAACCCATCTGTGGTATGCAGCCGTTTGTGACTCACAATCAATGGTGCAGTCCAGATGTGCACACGCTCACCGTAGAGCAGAGGTTTTGGTGGATGGTACAGTCCAGAGTGCCAAACTTCATCTGTCCAGCCAACTGGATTGACGCTTTTCTCAGTTCAGGCAGTAAAGCTCGGCATGGAGGACACCACTGCACACATGAATCAAACATTCATTTACTGAATATCTACGTAGGTGACGTCACCAGAGTGTTTTTTAATGAATGCCCAGGTTTCCGTTACAGCCTGAGGACAGTAACTCTTCAGACTCTCTCTTGTCTCTCGCGAGCATGAAGCTTGCCGGCATGTTGAGCATTGAGCACTAAATTTACACAAGCAGCTGTGATGACGAGGTAGTTATTTCCTCCCGTACCTGCCTGCCTCTCTGTCACTCACTGTTTGTGTTGTAGGTGCAGCATCATCACCAGCCCTGAAGGCAAACAGACCGGCTGGGTAATGGAGCAGCAAACCATCCGAGGTTCAATCAAGCCTATCAGTAATGACAGGTGGTGTTTCCACCTGTATATTTAGGATGAGACTTTATTTTCTGTTCCTGTGCTTCCCTGCAGATGAAGACCACCTTCCTCCATTGTGCCTGCCCTTTACTTTGCATTGAACTGCAGCCCAGTTCAGGAACGATCATACATTAAGTGCTGAGATAGATGTGTCATTAATCAGTAACACAAACCGGCTTAGTTGTCAAACACTACAAAACAACCCTGAATACATTCACAGAATTAAAGTTTTAATTTCCTTTAAAAACAGTAGAAATGTCGCAACCTGAAGATGTGAAATCGTCCAATTAAAGTAAATCGTTACAAACCGGAGCAAAGAAGTCGACCAGCCACGGCTCCTTTCTGTCTGCAGGGAAGTTGTCCGGCCTCAGAGTCGTCACATGAGCACGAACGCTGTCCCTCGCAAAACCCACAATGTTGTACAGCACATCTTTACCTACAGACGGGACAGACACACAGGTTACACAGATATACAAGCAAACTAGAGCTGAAACACTAACTGAATCAGCAGACAATTAATATGAAACTATTTTGCTGATCTATTATTCGTTAAAAGGAAACACAACTTGCTCATTTTCCAGCTCGTACTCGTATTTTGTGTTTCTACTAGAACATGTTTACATGCTTTAATGTTTAAATATTTAGGACAGAAGAACACAGGTTAGAGGTCTGTGGTACTGACCGTGGTGGATCTCAAAGTCGTGGATTCCCAGTCCTTTGAAGACGGCCACACAGGGTTTATGGATGTACAGTGACTGACACAACTTTGAGTCTGCTATACAGTCGACTCTGCCAACCTGGAGAGACAGACAGTCAGTTGGACATAAAGGCAGAGAGAGACATGCTGAGAGACAGACAGACAGGTACCTGTATGTGGTCATTTTGGAGGAAGGCTTGTAGCTTCTTGTACTCGTTGGAGGCAGCGTTTCCGTCTCCAAACGTAAAACTCACCAACCAGCGATGTTGAGCGAGCTTCCTCTGGGGATAAGAAGTCACAACAGGATGAACATGGTATTATGTATTTTAGAGGGTGGATGTGTACCTGGAAGCTGTAGGGTATGTGTGAGTGCGAGTACCTGGAGGCTGTAGGGTATGTGTGAGTGCGAGTACCTGGAGGCTGTAGGGTATGTGTGAGTACCTGGAGGCTGTAGGGTATGTGTGAGTGCGAGTACCTGGAGGCTGTAAGGTATGTGTGAGTGCGAGTACCTGGAGGCTGTAGGGTATTTGTGAGTGTGAGTACCTGGAAGCTGTAGGGTATTTGTGAGTACCTGGAAGCTGTCGCTGGTCAGTTGTTCCAGATCAGGCAGGTGGTTGATGACCTGATTGTAGATCTCTCTACTGTCCAGAGTATTCAGCCACTGGAACACATACACATTGAGTCAGTACTGCAGTACTACACCCAGAACTATCACAGACAGTACAGCAATGTGTTTCTGTGTCTTACCAGTATGCTGCCTTGTTGATCCAGAGAACTTCCAGGTGGGAACAAAGCAGTCACTCCACTGGTCACCTGAAATACACAAGAAGGATTAGAAACTAATACTAGCACTGCAATTTACAGTAGTAGTATCAGTAGTATTGCAGTAGCGCTGAAAAATACCTGGAAACTGTCACAGAGCTGTTCCTGTGAGGTGCAGTCCATCCATCCCACCTTAACTAGACCATCCTACACACACAGACAAACACACACAAATTAGATATGTATATCAGAATTATTTAAATCATAGGATCAGTAGAAGTAATTACAGTATCAGCACTACTTCTACTAGCACCTAGGCCTCTGCTGTGTGAAATAGCATCTCAGCTCTTTTCCCATTATATAAGTTAAGCTTTTATATCTTTAGTGTATTCATTTGTTTTCACATTCGCAGAAAAGATCCATAATTCAGTTATAATATTAATGCTGAGTTCTCACCAACATCCCAGCCACCTTCTGTCTCGTTGTTGGCTCCAGGCAATCTAAAAGGAGAGAGAGAGAGGCAAGTACATAACTACCACATGACAGGCCAGCTGTATACCCACATCACACACACACGCGCACACACACACACCTGTGTATATGCATGTGTGACATGCAGAGAGAGACATGTGACTATCAGACATGCAGGAACACTTTCAGGCATAAAACCCCTGCATCATGTCTACGTGTGCGTTACCTCCGGTGTCACAGCAGAAGGTGATCAGCCAGCCGAGCCCGGACGCGTACGCGTTCTCTATCTCGCTGAACACGTTACCTGACCAAAAAAAAAAAAAACACAACCACACCCGCGCGGTCAGACCACACAGAGCGACATAAAGCAGCCCGATACGCAGATATATAGATATAAACTGTAAATGATAAATCATGGTTCACCTTGCCAGAGCTCAGTGACGGTCGTTGTGATGAACTTCATGGAGAAGTGGACCAGGCTGTCTTTAGAGCGCTCCTCATTAAACTTCTCTGGTCTCTATGGAAAGACAAAACAAAATGGCGACGATAACTAAACAAACCTGCTGATGCTGAGCTAATAGAATTCAGCTAAAGCGAGATTTATTCAGGCAGCAAGTCAAGTACCTGGTGGACAAGTAAAGAGAAGCAGGAGATGCTCATTAAGCAAACACACATCAGCCAAATCTCAAAATATGAGGAATTCCATCTTGTTCTTGGGTTCATTGTGAACGTAGCAGGTCAGCGTCGTGTCTTTTTGCAGCTAAAAACTCATTTTAACTTGCAGTTGTAAGTTTGCACAACATGAGTAACACGTGTGAGAAATGAAGATCATGTTCTAGATCTCGTTATTTCAATAAAACAGTCAAGTCTGCCGAATATTGGACTGCACTGGTGCATCAAAATAAAAGCAGTTAACATGAGAAATAGATCCAAAGGGAGAAAGATCTTATAAATGTATATAAATATAAATAAATATAAATGATTGATCCACTAAGCTAACTAATGACGTTACACTTTAACAGAGTTAAACCTTTGTAGCTGGTATTCTGGTACAAAACTGATTTGAACTATTAACCAAAAGCGTACTGGTGAGCCGTCATCTGATGAGCTTGCAGGTTATTTCTGAGAGTTGTATTCACGTAAACATGAGCTGGTTTTCAGTGTAAACACGAGAGGAAGATAAAGATGGAGATAAAAGCAGAAAAGTAGTGTCAGCGATAAATTTAAAGGCCTCCGCCTGACTTAAGACTCAATTGTATCCGATGTAGCATTGCACACTTCACTCACATTGGTTCATACATGATTAAGAAGGAAACGATCACTAAACAAACCTGTCCTGCTCTGAATATGTACAGACTTGGGTAGCTGTTGATGCCTTTACTCCGGCAGAGATGGTTGTTGTCTCCACAGTTCACCGCTCCAATCCTGATGACTCCGTCCATCTCTTTGGCAAACTCCCGCCACTGAGAGACAAACGCGTTACTTAGAGAGATGCACAGAGAGACAGACGGACACAATATACGACCAAGGCTCCTGCAGATCATATTTTAAGAGGAAATTTAAACAAGTGTAAAAATATTAGATGTAAAAACGGGCTTTAAAAGGACAAATTAAAGAAAATAATGAGCTTGCAGAGGAAATCAAGAACCATAAAAGGATCCAATGAGCAGCAAACACTTGCATACATGGTGCATGTTTATGTTTAAAGTGTGTGTGTTTATTATGTGTTATATTACCGTTGGAGCCAGCTGGTGACAGTGAGAGCATCGTGGGAAATAGAAGTTAATGAACCAGATTTCTCCAGAGTTCACTGCTGCCTCTGAAACACACACACACACACACACACACACACACGTTTTAGTGTGTCTCACAGCCATGAGACAGTCCTACTGGGGCCAAACAGAGACAATACTGAGTTGAATTATGGGAAATGTAGGCTCCAGTGTTAAATGTGAGATTGATCTATTCTGGGCACTTAAAGTCAGGATATGTCAACCTTTGCTGCTTCAACGGTGATCATTTTTTAGAATCTGTCTTTTATTAGTCACCCAACTATATGGAAGCGCTACACTGTAGGCAGACAGCCACAGTATCATTAAGCAAACACCCTTTTTTGGGCAGGAGCTTCACCCCGACACCACCCAAGCACACCCTTTGTTAGTGTAATTAAACAGCAAAGAAATAGAGTTAAATGCAATGCTGGCTTAAGATAAATTATGGCAAAACAAAGCTACGTCTGGAGGTGTGAAATACAAACATTTAAAAAGCAATTACCGAATTCTCCGCTGTCCAACGTGATGATCTCCAAATCATCGTCGTAGATACCTGGATAGAAAAACAGAGTTAAATGTCAAACAACTGTTTAAGAATGCAGATGAGTTCATGGTTTTCAAAGACAATATTCAAATGTCCTATGATGGCATCAATAGAAACTGCCTCAAAATAAAGAAACAGAAACCACATTGGCTACACATGACAGGTGTGCATGGTTACAAAGAATCACCAAAGTCATATCGGTAGAAGTTCCAGCTCTCGTAGCGTCCCCCCTGCTGCTGCTCGTCCAATCCCTTTTCTCCATATTTATCATACTTCTTCCGGAGGTCTGCGTCCTTCAGAACCTCGTAGGCTCGATTCACCTGCAGGAACTTCTCATGGGCTGTGGCGTCGCCCTAAAACACAACACTTATATTAGGGTTTAGGTTTTTTTGCATACACCGACTGAAGTTTCATCAGGGTTTTTGGGTAGTTCTAGGTTCTAATTGGGGTGTTAGGGGTTGTGATTTTTAGCAGGGTTTACACAGTACGTAGGGGTTTCACGGTTGTGGGTTGAGGCTTGTCAGAGTAACTCACAGGGTTTTTGTCGGGGTGCATGGTGAGCGCCAGCTTCTTGAAGGCCTGTCGTATCTCTCTGGTCGTGGCCTCCCTGTTGACTTTCAGCAGATTGTAGTAGTCTTGGCTTTCCGCCCAAACCGCCGCCGACAGGACGACGAGGACCAGCAGCAGTGGCACCATGACCTGGATGAGACGAGGTCGCTGAACCTCGAGGACAGCCCTGTGCCCCATCATCAGTTCTCCCAGTGCAACCACAATCACCAGCAGAGGACGAGCAGCTGGAACACACGCACACACACACACACACACACACACACAGGCCTATTATTCTACCTTTTTATCCCAACTGGGTTGTCAGTTCAGGTCGATAAAAAAAAAACAATGAACATTGTACATGTGTACATAGAGTATAAAGTGGTAGGTATCAGGTCATACTGTGCATCTCTGTTTAGTAAGTCATCAGTGTGAACTTCCTTTTTTCTTCCCTTGTTCTCCTGTTTGGGAATTACGGTCAAGCGTCTGTATTTTTGTGATCTTATTTCTTGTGGTAGAATAAGAAAGTGGCTCCTGCACATCAAACTTAGATACTTTTGTTATGAACTTGGCCTGTAAATAGAAAACATCCTGTGATGTTGCTGGCGGCTGTAATCGTTCCTCCAGTCAGTATGACGCTTTCAAGCCGGAGGTTCAAGGTGAAGTAAAGATGCAGCCGTCTGAGTTAGACAAAGCAACACGGTATCTTCAAGTCACAGTACTTTGAGAACAAAAATCCAACTTTGTTTCTCTGGTGAGCATTGGTGGAGGGACAGTAACACAAAGAGCAAATGTTGTACTAAAATGACAATATACCAATTTCATTTGACTGACTCAGACTGCTGAAGCCTCGTATTAGCTTTGGCTGAACTTAAAAATGCATTTTTTGCAAAGAACGAGGCTCAAGGATCACTTTAGGGCCAGAATGAACTGGACGAATGATCACAGCTTTCCAGTAACTCCTTCTATGTATATGTGGCTTGCAAATATCATATCAAGAAAGAGATCAGCACCTATCCTTGGAGACACCTTTTGTAATAAATGAGTCAATTGCAGCTTTCTGGCCTGACTTGGGGACCTGGTTTTTAAGTATTTCCCCAAAGAAAAAGGGGTGCGACACATCAACTTAAAAATAACTTGTCAAACCAGCTAAGTAAAAACGTTACATGTAATGTTGGTAGAGTTGTCTCTGGCATCCACCAGTAACTACTTTCAAAATAAAAGGCTCATTTTTAGTGGTTAAACAGGTGAAACACTGAAGAAGCAGAAACACTATTGTTCGTCTCTGACTTGTGTAGAAGATCTCATACACGAACACGGAGAAATTAATGCAGATGTCAGCACTTAGAAATTGCAGTAGAGGGAAAAACAGGCCTTCCAGAGCATTCTGAGAAAAACTGGTACATTTAGTTTGGATATGTTGTAAATAACCAGCAATTAAAGACATAATATTATAGATAACATATCTATAACAACATGAATATCTGTGCTAAATTAATAGAAAAAAATTGTCTTACACGAAAGGCAGAGTTGAGGAGAGATGTCCAAAGGGTTGAAATCTTAAGATTTAGCTTTTCTTGACCCTGCAGAAAAGCTATTATGAGCTAAACGAAGCTAAGCTAGCTAGCTGTGCGTCCCCAGTCAGCAGCAACTATTTTAACTTGCTAGCTAATTAAGGTTATCGTATTAGCTTCACCGCGACATTAAGCTGTCTGCAGTGTGTTGACGAAGCTTAAGTTAATAGTAACGTGTCGTTGGTCGTTTGCCAAAGTTTCGGCCTGATTTAAACAGCAGCTGCGTTATCTTTGACGCGTCTCAACTTTTAAAAGCCTTCAGCGCCGAAGATCCGCATCAGCGTCCGGCTCATTAACCGGCATCAAGCTACACATAACAACACACTCCACTTCCGTTTAAGTCATTTCACAATAAAGGCCGTACTGCTCACCAAGACAGCAGACTATTTGACGGTGGTAAATAAAGTATTGAGATCCGTCACACCGTCAAATTACTCCACAAAAAATGAATAAAGTAAAGCATAAGTAAATGTACTTCGTTGCATTCCACCTTAGCATTGCGATTTTATTTCGACAACAGAACAGTTTCCTTTACCGGGATGTTTTTTCTTTGTTGCCTACGGTCACTTGATTGAACTCGGGCCCACAAGCCGCATTCCGATGACACAGATTTGGTGCGTTCAGGGCCGCACGTTATATATGCTATATTCCAATAATACATTCCAAATATACATTTTTACTGTTATTTTTTACTTTACTTTTAAACTTTGATCAGCCTTATATTCTTCACGTATAACTGTATTACACAATTTATCATGTTCTGTCAGTGTCTATATTGTTTACTTGAATTATTTGTATATTGTCATTTTTATCCATAAACTCCCTTGAATGCATCTTCATACCGACGCAGTCTAAATGCGCCAGAAGTTAACCAAGTTAGCTGCAGTGTTGTAGCGTTAATTCTCAGTCAGCCCTCCACCAGAAGCTCTGAGCTACAGAAACAAACTACAGCGGACTTGGTATCATATTTTAAACCGCTCGGCTCTAACTAATTTGATGCTACAATTTTGTATTCACTCAAGTAGACTTTTCAACAGCAGTTATAGTGACAAATCAGTTAGCTTTGCTAGCCGCGTGAGCTAGCCGGCCATTCCTTTTGCCTGGCGTCACTTCCTACTTTTGAAAATCGCGGCCATAAAGTAACGAAGCAGAGATGGAGCTACAAGGTGAAGAAGATGTTTTGTTAAGTCTTCTTCTGCTGTTATCCGTTTGTCATAATATCCTGCTGTTGTTTTTATGTTTATAAATGATCTGTCTGCTCTGATAACCTGTCAGCTCGTTTACTTTCCTGTTTCTGATTTTATAAGAGGTATAACATTATTAGACGTAAATCAACGGGTTAATAACTGGGTTTAAGTATTTCTCATGTCCACACAGGCTGATAGCAAACTAATAAGAGCAGATATCTGACTGTATGTTATTGTCACTGTGCCGCGATTACTTCAATATGTATTTACACAATGATCTGGAAGTGGACGCAGAGATCACAGTCACAGAGCCAAGCATGTTTTCTGAAGAAGAAAAAAAAGAAACCCCTGAAGGTTGTTTAACAGTAGTTTCCACTGTTATGACGGAATTTCCAGAATCCTCAAAGACTCTTTTTACATCTTGATGGAAAAATATACTCAACAACAAATGACCCTTTTTCCCCAAGTTGTCAATGTTTTCTTTTCCAGTAAAGATTGTAGCCAGAAGGGATGCATGTCTTTAAACTTTTATTATACTTGTGTGGTACAAAATGAGCAAGTAGAAACAGTATGACTCCTCTATCTCGCTCCTTTTTTGGATAAGGAAATTCAGTTGTGATTTGGGAAATATTGAAATAAGTCTACGCAGCTGCATTTGATTACTGCAGTTTACATTTTATTGAGTAAAATAAACATCAAGGCAGACTGGTCAGCCCTGATGGCGACCACTTGTTTAAACCAGTCCACCTGTCCCCATCTCTCAGTGGGAACTGAACCGATGACCCTGGGCTCTCCCACCTCTCCAAAGTCGACCCCTGGAGCTCAGTTTCTGCCCGGCTTCCTGATGGGCGACCTGCCAGCTCCAGCTAGCCCCCAGCCACGCCCCTTCAGTCTGGCCTCGCCCATTAGTGAGAGCGCAGGTACGCCCCGAGGTCAGCAGGAAGACACCCATCTGCACATCAGCTGATTGTTGTTTACTCTGTAGATTTACTAGTGTGTCCTGTCCTGCTTCACTTTAGGAGGAGGTGGAGGCTTTGCCCCGCAGCCTGTTGTCCCCACCCCCAAAGATAAGAGTGGAGCCCCACCTGTTCGCAGTATACATGACGACCTGGTTAATGTGACCACGCCCCTCAACACACTCAGACAGGTTAGTACAAAGGCGCTTTATGAAAACGATATTTATTCAGAATCAGACGGCCGTGATGATAAAATGTGATTAAGGAAAGAAAAGTCTGAACATATTTTAAATATTTCTCTCCGTCTCTCTTCAGTCTTTTCCAGTTATGCAGTCTCCTCTGTCTGCACGGGGGGCATCTACTCCAGGTACACACTGATGCTAAACTACTACTGGTACTACCTATTCTACTGCTGATATTAGTAGAGAGTCCACAACAAGTAACACTTACACTACAGCTGGTATATATAAAATTCAGTTCAAATGTAAGTTTATTGTTGGTATTAGCGAGGATCTTCTCTATAGGAATTATGTAGCTCAATGTGTCGTGTAAAATAATGAAATCTCACTTTCATCCACCGCTTTGGGGAGATACCCGCTAGTCTCTGCAACTATGTTTCAGCATCGCCAAAGATGAAAGTAACTCTCTGGCATTTAGAAGAGCAGGGTGTTTGTTCAGCTGTCTGCCATATTTGTTATTCTCTCTTGGAACAAAAATAAACCCTCATAAATCATAGCTCTGCATACTGTGGTCTGCTGTCACCGTGCCTGTATTCACCTGTCTGTCTGTCTCTCTCTCTGCCTGTCTGTCTCCAGGTGTGCATCAGCTGTGCCTGTCTCCAGCTCAGGTGGATCCTTTTTACAGTCAGGGAGAGTCTCTGTCATCTGAGGATCAGCTGGATCAGACTTGGGTCACTGTGTTTGGGTATTTATACTGCTAAATATACTACTAACACTGCTGTACTGCTTAATACACTGCAAATACAAATATATGAACTCTGTGTGTGTGTGTATTTCTTTTTGTTAGTTTCCCTCCAGCCTCAGCCTCCTACATCCTGCTGCAGTTTGCACAATATGGAAACATCATCAAACACACGGTGAGAGTCCGGTCGTGTGTGATAATAGAAACAAGGACAGGCATTACATTTTAATTACAACAAATGTTTAAAAAAAGTAATAAAAACACAACTGGGGGAGCTATGTAGGGTTTAGATCCACATACAGGTGAAGTGATTATCTGAAGGGCTGAAGAACATTTAATGAAGCTGAATTGCTGAAGCAAAGTATCGGTTATTAGGCAAGGCAAGTTTATTTGTATAGCACATTTCAACAACAAGGCAATTCAAAGTGCTTCACATAAAACCATTAAAAGCATCAAAACATAATTATTGCATAATTATGCATTATAACTATGCAATCTCATAGACCAGCTATTCTCCGTGAGCCTCAGAGCGCCATCTAGCAGGCTGTGGAGGTACTAAATGGTTAGAATAGTCAAAGGTAATTATTTTTCAGTCTGCTCCAGAATTCACAGAAAAAATGATTTTCATCATTGGCTAGCTAATGTTCTTTCGGATGCAGTGACACAAAAATGGTTACTTTTTTAAACTTAAGTGATGTTGGAGGCAACTATTTGCCAGTAAGAGCGTTCTCATAGCGGAAATATGACCCTGAATAAATTCAATTTGGATGCATGATCTCTTTATCGGTGCTGGAGACATGTGGAGAATCACTGCAGTTTGTGATGATGTCAGAGTGGAGTAAGCATCCTGATCAATGAACTTTAGTTTATAAACCCTGTAGAGCCGATTGGAAACATAGATTTATGTTATTTGCAGATGTATTGGTCTGAATTGATGGATGTATTGATGATTTATTGACAGATGGCGTCTCCTGGTAACTGGATGCACCTTCAGTATCAGTCCAGACTTCAGGCCAGGAAAGCTCTGTCTAAAGATGGAAAAGTGTTTGGTGACGCCATCATGGTGGGAGTGAAACCCTGCATAGACAAGGTCGGTACCTGTTTTTGGTTGTGTTTTGTTCTCTGCCGTCTGATTGGTCCTCCACATCAGGTCACATCGAGCCCCGTTTGAAGCCTCTTCTCTCTCTTCTCTCAGAGTGTGATGGACAGCAGCGTAGCCGTCTTGTCGCCCCTCTCCACCTCCTTCTCCAACTCCGTCCTCCCCTCCACTCCTCGCTCCGCCATCAGACCGCTCAGTGCCTCTTACAGGAGCTCCTGTAGCGACTACCAGGTGACCTCTGACCCCAGGATTCACTTACTTGAAAATCTTGTCTGCACATTTGGTTGATTTTAGCAATACAATCTGTGTGTCTCTCTTTAGGTGGTAGCAGACAGACAGACACCAAGGAAGGACGACAGTTTGGTTTCCAAAGCAATGGAGTACATGTTTGGCTGGTGACATTACACAATGCATCATGGGATACCTGCAGCCTTGAAAGAGAGAGGGGAATCAATGGAGCGATGGATGAACTGATTCACTACACTGTGTGTGTGTGTGTGTGTGTGTGTGTGTGTGTGTGTGTGTGTGTGTGTGTGTGTGTGTGCTGAGGTGGAGAATCTTTTTGTCTCTTCTTTTACAATCAGTATTTTTTTAATGTTTTGTCTCAATAAAGTTTTTCTCTGGTTTGAAGTGAAGCTGACGTTTCATTCAACAACCACAAGGTGGCGCTGTTCAATCCACGAAGTGCAGTCACATCCTCATGTCTACATGGCGTGGACAAAAGTTTGTGGACACGCAAACATTCTAATAATATGTGATTGTTGGACATATTATCTTAAGACCAGGATCATGAATGTGCTGCTGTAGCAGCCTTCACTCTTCTGGTTCAAGCCCTTCCACTCACAGCTCGGTCTGTGTTTTCATTCCATCCCAAAGGTGTCTGATGGGGTTGAGGTCAGGGCTCTGAGCAGACCAGTGAAGTTCTTTCACACCGAGCTGGGAAAACCATTTCTGTATGTCTCTATGGACGGAGACATCATGAAGGAATGAATGAATGAACACCGTCGAGAGGTTTATTTTGAAGCCTGGAGAGGGGGTGTGAATATTCACTCTGTAGATATAATTCACCATTCACCGGTTACTGTAATAAAGCTGTTCTTTGTCACATTTTCATGATTAAGCTGATAACTGCATAGTGTCTTAATATCTTTATAACAAAATATAAAACAACCATATTTTCAGTTTCAGCAACCAAAAACCGATGCCTGGTAACCAATATTAAAAGTTGGTGTTTTCTGCGTTTATTGACATTAAGAGCCCCAAACCAGGAAAGAGAGACTCTGACCAAAAGTACACACAGGGTCATAAACAGGGGTGTCCACAAACATTTGGCCAAATAGTGTAATTAACGGAACAGTTTGACATTTTGAGAAATATCTGCTTTCTTGCCGAGTGTTAGACAACAGGATTTATACCCCTCTCATGTCTGCACAAAGAATATGGGGCCAGTAATGATTCGCTTAGCTCAGCATAAAGACTGGAAAAAGGAAGACAGCTTTGCTCTGTCTAAAGTTGACAAAATCTGCTCTAAAAAATTAAGTTTTTCAGAGCAGATTTACAAATTAAGTTTTGTGTGTATTTTACAGTGACAAGACACCAGGAAGTCACTGCACCTGGCTAAGTAATGGTCCTGCACACATTGTATATACGTATATATACTTATATACGTATCATTGTGAAGAGTGTAGTGTCCCCCAGCAGGTTAATGGTCTAATCTGTAAAAACTGTTGATTATAACTGTTTTACTGTTAATAATGACGGCTCATTTTGGAGAAGACGGTAGGGAACTGGGCTAACAATGCTATACTTGTATCAAGTATATAAAGACCTTGTTCAAAAGAATGGACATTTTTGTATTTTTTGTTTTTCATGTTGATGGATACTGTTTAGAAAATCCGGTTTAATTGACAGTGATACATAAAATATAGAAGTTCGGTTGGTGCTGCTACAGAAAAAAAGCATTTGTATGATCGAAAATAAACAGTATTGAGTGGCTGAATGGACTCTGGTGTAAATATGAACTTGTATTATGTCCAGCAGATGGGGCCACAAATCCTGCCACACACACCTCAAGAAGTCTATTGTGTGGAGGAAAGACTAAAAAGTCCACTATTAGTTTTTGTGTTGGGAATATTTGAAGAGCGGTTGCCAAAAACCCAGAGAGTTCAAGTGTTCCCAAAAAAAGGACAGAAGAGCTGAAAAGTTTAGAAACATATACTCAGTTTAAAGACCTCACACCTACTTTTATCAAGTTGAGCAACATTTTTTGAGTCATTTGCCGCACCTTGGTGTTTGGCCTGCCTGCCTGGATATAATGCTATACGTCACTGAATGACTAATAATTACATAATAATCAAGTTGAAACCTGAGGCAGATAAGTGAAAACATAAACACAGATGTTCCTGCTTAACCTGCCAAAGAGGCTCAGACAAGTAGTATGAACAATGACTCTGGTTTTCGGGTATCCGTCTACAGAGAGCGTCCCTTTTTCTTATATCAATGTTACATTGACTCATCTCAGTTGTCAATTGGTGGACAGATTATTACCTGAGGAGTGATGCTTTGGAGTAAGGGGGACTTCCAGTGGGCTCCAGCCTCACTCATCGCGTGCCATTTAAGAAAACTCAGACCAGTTGACCTCTCCCCGAGTGGCCAATTGCCTCCTGTGTACCTTATGCCAGCAACATATGGTCCACTCAGCCCCCACTCTATACTGGCACAGTATAAAGTCAGGGGATAAATGACTAGAACAGGCCCCACAGCCTGCAATGTATGCAGAACAGAGGGCCCACTGCCAGAAGAAAGAATGAGAGGAGGGGGTTGTGCGTGGAAGACACGGGGTAAGGCTTTGGTTGAGCTTATGCGAGACCCTGCTGACCTTAAAGGACGTTTGTCACCGATCAGGGTAAACAGTTTATATAAAACACTACAGATATACCGGCGTCTCTGGCCCACAGTCTTGTGCTACAGGAGACTGAGCTACACCCCTTCTCCCTCTGTGTGAATGGTATTGTTGTGTTTCTAATGAGTAAAATGTCTGTCCTCTTTGTCTCACTGTCTTTGTGGTACAGAGGAGGATGTGTGGCCCGCCTGGAATATTGCTCGTCTTCCCAGATCCATATGCTTTATGTTTGCACTCTTTGTAATTTATATTATCATTCAGTTTATCCAAGGTGTTGTCTTACAATTGTTAATTTAGTCTACTCTCTGTGCATATGACATGAAATTGTCTGTTTTGGAGGAAGGATCCCTCCTCGGTTTCCACAAAGTTAATCAAGTTGATAATACTTTTTTTCCAACATACTTTTAAAAACTTTTTTAATGTTTTGAATGCAGGACTTTAACTTAAAGTGGAGTATTCTGACAGTGTTGTCATAGTATTAGAATCGAATTTACTTCTTCCACCACTGCCTCAATGATTGGTTTCATGTGTCTGCAAAATAGCAGCTTTTTCTACACCAATCCCTGAGACGAAGAGAACTCTCGCGAGATTTGCCCAACGGACTCGTTGGCCTGAGGTTACAGAAGCGATATCTCGCGCTACCTGAGTCCTCCGTGTCTCATTCCACCACGGTCAAGCCTGCCGGCAGAGTTCCTGTTCTACAGCTTCACTTTAATCATTTCATTTGGAAACTTAAAAACGGAATTTATATTTATAACAACCATCGTTTTATTTATTTAAAGAAACGCTATCGTCTACGCTAACTTCACAGGTAAACCGTTGGATCAAGGTCGTAATTTTGTACAGAAAAAGGAATTTCACGTAACAGCATTTAGCCGGGTCGTGCTAACAAAAGAAAATCCTTTCTCTTCAGAAATAATCCCCATTACTCTCTTTAGTTATGAGTCATGTGGTCGTTGATAATCCACACGGTCTAGATCAGCAGGTGAGTGCTTTTAATTTCTTACTTGATTATTTGTTTCTTTAAAAAAGATGTGTTTTTTCCCGTCAACGCGCACGTAGTTTCGATAGAGAAAGAGGTTAGTTTCGTTAGCTTAAGTCGCTAGCCTCCAGCTAAGCTAACGCTGCGGCTGCTAAAATGGAGGTGAAACGATGTCGCCGTAGAGAAGATTGTGATGGCGGAGCTCGTCACTATGCTGTGAAAGCTAACTGTTAGACCGGCGTTTCACTTTGTTGGAGAGGCTAACAATTGTCAATGTGGTATGGAACTTAAATTGTGTGGAGATATATTTAAATTACTTGAAACCTATAATGTTTGCTAACAGTTATCTGATACTACCGGTGTCCTACGAAGTTAGCCAGCTAACGTTGGGCCTTCTCGACCTGAAACGTGGCGCAGGAAAAAAATGTTCGGCAGCGGGTTTTTTTTTATCCACCACTAATGTTTCTGAAATGTAAACTCTCAAGTAAATAAATCATTCAGTGAGTAACGTTAACCGCATCGACTTAGATTGTAGTGTATGTATTAAAGTGATCTAATAAACTACTAACTTTTGTTTTGTCTATTTAAATTGTAAGCATTTCTGTTTGATGGCCACAGACTAACGTGGTTGTGCCATCATTCCATGGCGGTTGTTGGGTACATTTAGCCGTTTTTAATAAGCAATAAAAACCGGTTTAATATTGATAGTTGTTTGAGATACTAAATAGATTATGAGGTTATTTAATCAATAGTCATCGTGTGTGTAGCTTCATTGTCTACTATTGATAGTTTCTGAGTCAACTGCTTATCTGAATTTAAACCAAATAACATTCTTACATTTTTCCCCTTTTTGTAGCTTGCTGCCCTAGACTTGAACTCTGCTGACGGACAAGGCGGAGGAACTGGCAGTAAGTAACAAAGCAGACCTTACTAAAATACGTCAGTCATAAATTGATGACATAAGCATTAGTTGATCCTTGTGTAATTGTTTTTACAATCTGCTACTTCTGTATTGATGGCAATAATAAATTGGCTAATGCAAACAACTGATGTTCTCTAGTAAATGAGACGTGTATATTTATAATATAGTATTAATAATTTCCAGTAGTTAAACATTATGCCACAAAATCAACTCTTACAACTAACAATATACTATATATATTCACAGTACACCAGAAAGTGGGAGTTACCCTTTTGGGGGTGTAGTTTTCTTTGAGGAAAAGTGGTTTATTGTTGATAGGATAGGGTCTTATATTTATACCTTCAGTTTGTCAATAATGTCAATCTTACAGTATTAAGAATGAGTGTATTGTGTATATGGCACATGACTCTTTTTACCTCCACCCAGGGCGTTACATTCCACCTCACTTGAGAAACAAAGATGCACCTAAAAACGGTAAGTTTAATCGAACACTCTTACTGACCCACAGTCAGACCATCTGGTCTGGCTTGTGGTGGTCTTCTTAGTGTTTGAAGCCCATCAGAGCAAGGTAAAAGCAAGCACAACTGAGAAAAAGGGGTTAATTGTGTCTCAATCGATCTTTACCAGCCAAGACAAAGATGTTCTGCAGGGTTTTTGCTGCTTCCGACTATTTTTCTACTTTTAGAAGTGCACAGAAAGAGGAGAGAAAGCCATGTCAAGTCGGTTTTCTGTGCAGGATGGCTTATCTTGGCTTGAATGAAGTGGGACAAGTGGTATTATCCTAGCCTGAAACGTTCACCCCAGGCTGATCATAAGGAAGAGAATGAGGCAAATTTCAAAATTATGTCACATTTGAACTTTTGTCATTGGTAATCTTTCACACATTTATTCTTGTCTCACATGTGAGTAAGAGTGCTGCGTTTGGCTGCTCTGATGAAGGGGAATGTGGAGGGTGGGTTATTTGTAGCTAGGATGAGGTGGTTTTGAAGTTTTTATCCTGTACTTGTGCCTCATAAAGGCCTTAAATCAAGACAAATGCTGTGCCTGGCATAATTCGACAGATAATTTTACATTTTCAAAAATCTTTTCATAATGGTTCTGTGTCATTGCACACTTGACGTTTTTTTCTCATTTTTACTTTTTTCTCATCCCACAGCAGGAAATGCTTATTCCGCTGGTAGACAGTACGGTTATTCAGTGGCACCAGTAAATCTGTGTAAGTCCCTTCTGTCTGCTTTCGCTGAGGGCAACTTGCATTTCCAGATGCATGAAATAGCCATTTTACACACCAGCAAAGCCAGTGTGAAGAGGGAGAGTTTTCAAGCTGTACACTTTACAGTAAAGATTAATGAGCTCATGATTAATTAATGTGCTTCTCTCTACTAGGGTGCTTGCATTCAAAATGAGAAATGTGTCATAAATAATGGGGAATTTTCTATAAGCATACGCTTGCTGGGTTAATGCTTTTCTTAACTGTAGTGAGTGGAATTTTTTTTTATCTATTGAAGCATTAAAAAATGTTTTTCTTCAACTGTATATGTAAGCCCATATTTCACCTGCAAATGTCCCCCAAGTGTCTTCTAACCAGTACCCACAACCATAGCAAGCAGAGTGTGAGCAAACGCTCTATAAAACATCTATACAGCACGAGGGGATGACTGTAAGATTGGTGACTTAGTGTAAAGTCAAGCCCAGCGCTTGTACTGTATGCGTCAGTAGTTACGGGTCTTTTTATAGCCTGCTTCCCTACCTTTGCTCAGGTTACCCAAGATTGGCCTCTCAGGAGTTTGCCTTTTACCAGGCCTACAGTGGGGGTCAGCAAAACAGATGTGGTATACTTTGACCTCTACCTGCATGCCATCTACTTGTTGGCAGATTTTTATGTATATGTGTATATATATATGTGTGTATATATATATATATATAAATGAGAATTAGAGAGATATAGATGAACACTGGGGTGTAATCAATGTGCCCTTGCTTTGTCATGGTCACTTGAAAAAAAGCAGCAGAAATCTGGGCCTAACAGTGTTAAAGCTTGCAATTAAAGCTGCTTCTGGTGCATGGGGATGGTGCCTACAAGACTGCACTGCATCACAAGTGGCTGTCTTACTAATAATGAGCGGAAGTAGGGCTGGGTGATGAAGCTTTTCAATAATATCCACTTTTTTTACATTATGCCACAATATGTTTTTTATTTTCATATGTTCTCTGACATAACTGTTATTTCGCCCTTTGGTGCGTATTATACCATTTTGACTAAGACACGCCTCACACGCACACACTCGCCAAGAGAGTGCAAGCCACAATAAATCAAGTTTGCTCCACTGCATTGTTCAAACATTCATACCCTTTAACCTCTGTTAATTGCAGTCATGAAATCATTAAACTGGGAAAATAATCCGCGGTTCATATGCGCGCCGAAGGAACCTTTAGCTGGTTTGCACTGTGCATTGCATGTGAAAGTGTGATAATGCACCAGACATGTTCTTTTGGGCTAGCAGACTGTCAATGCGGAGTATAGCTCTTGAGTATAACGAGTGAAAGGAATCTTGCAACATGTAGTCGTTGAAGTTAAGCAGGCTTGGGTTGCTGCACAAGCGTCTCCAGAATATGCGGTTCGTTTTCTGTCTGGAGTGAGGCGCACCTTGCTACCAACACTCACCTGGAGATGCGAGACGGTTCTAGGGGACATACTCAAAACAGTTTCTAGCCAGTGTTGTTGGATTCACCAAACCACTTGTAGCTCATACTTTGCCACGCACAGCTGCAGAGGAAATGGAATATTTTCGGCTCATTGTGAAACTGGCGGGAAATAAAAGACTCTGCTCGCCGCAGTCTCTGCAATTCATTGGAAACACGGTTCAGGGAAAGCTACTTAAGCCTTTTTACTTGAAAGCTACACATGATGTGGTCCATCCAACAATACGTAGAGAAGGAGATGGTTACTCTACTACAGCCTCATGTTTGGTAGCGAAGATGCACCAATACGAGCCATTGCAAGATTTTTACATGATTTCAAGAGACGGCTTTGCGATCAAGTTATATCTTGTGTTAAATAGTTAGTTGTCTTGTTTTTGTCCATTTTGGTGGGTTGATGAACTGTGACACTGCTGTGGCTGCATGGTGTGCTTTGCAATGTTTGCAGATTGCACATTCATCATTTTTGTCTGATACCCGTCAGAGTGACAACATATCGCCACAAATTGCGTCGCAGTATTAGATTTGAGCTTAAGCTTACCATTTGCACTCAACATGGGGAAAAGTCTGAATGCCACATCTGTAACTGTATTTTTCACTTTCTTGCCTATTGTGATTGCAATGCAGCTCTGAGAGGCCCCAAATTCTCCCCAAACTGACCTAAATCCATTTCTTGTTACCATCAATATGGTACATTTTGAGCTTGTTTGGAAAATACTAGACGGTGTAGGTGTTCCTCCACTTTTTGAAGCTAAGGACGGATCTACAACACATAGATCGGCGTGTGAAGCGCTAGAAAGCTTTCCCCTTTGACATTTACCTGTTGACCCACAGGTATGAATATAGATCCTCACCAGACTAGATCTGTGTGGCCGGTCTGCCCAGTCATGCTATTGTGACATAGCCTCAGCTACTACCAAATCCATTTGATTGCTTAATCTTTTGTCTTTTGGAGGTGTAGAACTTGCTTTGCTTTTTTTGCCCAATTTCTTTTGAACTATTGGATGACAAATGTTGCAGCATTTTTGAGAAAAAAATTTTTTTTTAGTAGGTCAGTCTCCAAAAGAGCGACTTATGGCTAATAGGGAGACTTGAGTATTTGCTTTCTGACACAAATGTGCAGCATCGTGCTCTTTTCCTCAAGCCTTTTTTTTGTCTTTCCACAAAGATACGCCTGGATGGGACGGCGGAAGCGGCAATGGATTTGTGAATGGTTACCACGACAATCGCACAAATGGGGGCTTTGGAGGGCGGGGACCCCCTCGCAATGATAGAGGTGGGCGTGGCGCCTACCGTGGTAACAGGGGTGGAGGCCCGTTTACTCAACCATTGCAAAATGCAGGTGGGAAAACCCTGTCATGCCTTAAAGTGTCAAACTATAGCCCTGGTTTTTCAGAGTGACGGTGTAGTTTTAAGATGGAAACTTCGCCCTCCCCCACCCTTGTTACACATACAGTTACAATAGCAGAACGCTACCCTGCATAATGGATTTGCAGTTATATAAAATAGTTAGCTGTGCACTTATGGGAATGATCTTTGCGCCGCTTTTGGTAAGAAAGCGGCGCCATTCTGATGACCGCCGATTTGAGCAAAGTAGGCGTCGCTGACCGGCTCTGTTCGTTACAGGATTTAGCGGAGATGGAAACTGGGCAGGAGCTCCGAGGGATGCTGCCTACAACAGCTTCGGTGGACGTTCCAACGACAGGTCCAAGTCTACCTTCTTCAATGAACGTGGTGGAGGCGGAAGGGGAAGGTGTGTAACATTTACATTTGATAACATACTGTTTGAGTTTGAGTCCGCAAAGTTTGTTTTAATACGATGTCTTAAAGTTTTATAATCTGAAATTTTATAACAAAGCATTCAATATAAACTGAATGTTTTTATTTTATAGTTTACTTTCCAGGACCATGTTTAATCATTTTAAATTAAATAATGTGCTGATATTGTTATATTAAATAAGACATTAAAGGGTTTCTTTTGGCTCCACACGCTAACACACTGGTTGTGTGTACAGATATGAGCGCGGTGGCTTTTCTGGTGGTGGAAGCAGCCGGTGGGGAGACGAGTCCAATGACGACTGGTCCAAGCCCACTGCTGTCAACGAGCGCCAGGAAGCGTAAGAAAGATTTTGCTCACAAATAACACAAAACCACAAATAACGGAAATCTTGTATTTGGATTCGATCTCAACTTTTGCTAATGTTTTCTTCCAGAGAGCTTTTTGCTGCAAGCAACACTGGAATAAACTTTGAGAAATATGACGATATTCCCGTGGAGGCAACCGGAAGCAACTGCCCTCCCCACATTGACAGCGTATGTCTATATATAGAATTATATTTTATAGGTTTTAATAGAAACGTTTGTGCCTTTTTACTGACTGTCTGGTTATTCTGTAGTTTCACGATGTGGACATGGGCGAGATCATCATGGGGAACATCAACCTGACCCGCTACACCTGTCCCACCCCAGTTCAGAAGCATGCGATCCCCATCATCAAGTCCAAGAGAGACTTGATGGCTTGCGCCCAGACTGGTGAGTATTTCTATATATTCTCAATGCGTGCATTTGACAGCCTGAAGTAGACCAACCAGCCTTTTCTCTTATTAGATTATCATTGGTCGAGCTTGATGTATCATTTAGCTTACACCTTTTGGCTCCGTGGTTTTATATTTTGTTTTAGGTAGTCTAACGTAATCGTGTGTCTTCTAGGGTCCGGAAAGACTGCTGCTTTCTTGCTGCCAGTGCTTAGTCAAATTTACAGCGACGGGCCAGGAGAGCAGGCTGCTAAGAACAATGGACAGGTATTGGGGAAAGAAAATACACAATGATTGAACTTATCCTGCCATCTGATTGTGGCTAATGAACCTTCTTTCTTTCATCCTCAGGATAGTGGAAGGTATGGCCGCCGTAAGCAGTACCCACTCTCCCTTGTTCTGGCTCCCACCAGAGAGCTGGCCTTGCAGATCTACGATGAGGCGAGAAAGGTGAGTGACTATCCGACACCACATAGAAGTCTTTTGCCTGAACATTGAATATGCATCTTAAAACATTTCTTTTCTCCCTACATTGTAGTTTGCCTATCGCTCACGTGTGCGCCCCTGCGTGGTGTATGGCGGTGCTGATATTGGCCAGCAGATCAGGGAGCTGGAGAGAGGCTGTCACCTGCTGGTGGCCACGCCTGGACGTCTGGTTGACATGATGGAGAGGGGCAAGATCGGTCTGGACTATTGCAAGTCAGTAGAACACAGGGATCCATAAAGATTTTTTTTGTTGAAACAGACTCCACTACTTGTGTATTTTTGTTTTGGGATTAAATGTGAATTGCGTCTCTGCAGCTTCTTGATCCTGGATGAGGCCGACCGCATGTTGGACATGGGTTTTGAGCCACAGATCAGACGCATCGTGGAGCAGGATACGATGCCACCTAAAGGCGTCCGCCAGACCATGATGTTCAGTGCCACCTTCCCCAAGGAGATTCAGGTAGGTTAGGACAGTCAACAAGTATAACGAGTCTTGCTAAGTGAGATAAATATACCTGCATACTTATCCATTTGATTTGTTTGCATAGATCCTCGCTCGGGACTTCCTGGAGGACTACATTTTCCTGGCGGTGGGTCGTGTTGGTTCCACTTCAGAAAACATCACCCAGAAGGTGGTTTGGGTCGAAGAGACAGACAAGAGGTCCTTCCTCCTTGATCTGCTCAATGCCACAGGTGAGAAATGCATCCGTAATTATGAAACGCTCATCGTGTATTTCTCAGTCTGCCCCATATCAAGCTATGATTGACGTTGCTACATCTCTGCTAACAAATGTTCATTATAGCAAGACCTTGCTGTGAAATATAAAATGTCATACAGGGGTGAGCAGTCACTGAAATAACCTTCTGTGTTTAGTGGGTTTGCTTCTCCATATTTATCTCAAGTTGTTATATTTGTGTACTGAGAAGTCTGACGTTTACTGGCCGGTTTGGTTTTATCTTAGTTATTCCCAGTGATGTTCCGGAAAGTGTGCCGGACCCCGACAAACCCGGTAAGTGTGAACATATCATCATTTTACTCTGACCCACAAACTAGAGACATCACATCCCACAGTCCACCCTGTCCCTCTGCTCCCAGCTGACACGCTGTCTCACTTTTTTTTGTTCCTTTCATTTCCAATAAGAGCTTGTAGGACCAACGATAGCATTTTCCTTGCACTCTATTGACTCAAATTCTGCAATGTCACTCAGTCTCTCTCCTCTAAAAAGGAAGTCCTTCCTAGCCGTAGAGTTGGTGTGTTATCAACGCCGACTCAGCGTGACCACGGTGGCTGGGTGTCATAGAACTCTCAGATGGCTGTGACAGATTTAATGGCACCAAACTGTCACTTCAGTGAACTGTTTCTAGAGGTCTAGTTTAGACCACGAGGGAAGAGAAATAAAGGACTATAGGGGAGGAGAACTGCATGTAAATTGCAGTTCTCCTCATAGATTGAGTTTTATGTTCCTGCTCCCAACTTTAGTAACAAACATCCATCCGTACCCAGTTATCAATGATTTATACCCTCCTGCTCTCCTCCCGTTTGTCTCATCCTCTTTGTTTTCCGGCTTCACAGTCAAAGAGTCGTTGACTCTGGTGTTTGTGGAAACCAAGAAAGGAGCCGATGCCCTGGAGGACTTCCTCTACCACGAGGGTTACTCCTGCACCAGCATCCATGGAGACCGGTCCCAGAGAGACCGAGAGGAGGCTCTGAATCAGTTCCGGTCCGGACGCTGCCCCATCTTGGTGGCTACAGCTGTAAGTAGTCATGGTGATTTTCCTAACCGAGACGCAGCCCATCTTGAATGTTTAGCTTGAAGCTTCGGTATGCTAAATGTATATTAAACAAGTGCAAATATTACATTATCATAAATGCTTTTTATTTTTGACTAATTTTGGGGGAAGAAACCAGGCGAACTGGGTCAAAGAGCAATCTGTGGCTTTGGTTGAACAAACCAAAGCCAGTTTTATCTGTTAATTATCTCAAGTTCTACCAGTTATTTGAACTTCGGTCAAACAGAAGCTCTCCCCTGAAAGTTGTTGGTTGGTGTGGTCTCACCATCTTATTTTCTTATAGTATTTTCTTGTAACTTTCATTTAATATTTCCTTATTTTCCAGGTGGCTGCCAGAGGTCTGGACATCAGCAATGTGAAGCATGTCATTAACTTTGACCTGCCCAGTGACATTGAGGAATACGTTCACCGTATTGGCCGTACGGGACGTGTGGGCAACCTTGGTATGGACCTTTTAAATCTGTTTAGTTTTTTTTACCAATTTTCAATCGATTATGTAGATTCATATTTTAATGTCTCTATATAATCTTTCACTGTTTTGTGCAGGTCTGGCCACGTCGTTCTTTAACGACAAAAACAGCAACATAACCAAAGATTTGCTGGACATTTTGGTGGAGGCCCACCAGGAGGTGCCCTCCTGGCTTGAGAGCCTGGCCTACGAGCACCAGCACAAGACCACCACCCGGGGTGGACGCTCCAAGAGGTAATTGTCCCGAGCAGGAACAAATGGTCAGGTGTTGGTCATGTGACAAACAGTACTCCTTTTGGGGTTCATTAATTTGAACTGTTGCTGCTTTGCATTGTTCTTATGGATCATATCTACAAAAAAAACATAGCTTCAAGCACTTGTGAAATTTAAAAAGTAGCTTCATAAAATCTGTATCTAACAAACGTACATTCTTGTGTAGGTTCTCTGGCGGTTTCGGAGCTAGAGACTACCGTCAGACGTCTGGTGGCCCCGGAAACTTCCCTAGCAACCGTGGTGGTGGGCGTGGCGGCGCTGGAGGAAATCGTGGCTTTGGCGGCGGAGGTGGTAAGAAGACATCTTTCCCCTTTCATCTGTTCCATTTAAACCTCTATGTAAAACCTAAAACAATCGTATATTTGATTGAAATAGTGCTGACCGCCTGACTTTATCCTCCACAGGTGGCTTTGGTGGTGGAGGCGGCGGCAACTTCTACAACAACGACGGCTACGGAGGCAATTACAGCCACTCTGGTAGTGTGGATTGGTGGGGCAACTAGCCGCCATAGGAAACAGGTTGCAAGCCAACCCAAGGGAAACCACATGTTAACTTAAAGCCAGACCATAACAACAAACCCTCCCTGTGTAGCTTCACTGACACACAGTACATTACCAACCCTGGTTCTCTGCCATTATGCTTCTCTCAAAAAGGAAGTGCACAGCACGAGGCAAAGGAAAAGTCCACCAGCACGTTTGATGCACCGGAGAACGCAGAGATTCGCACACCTCAGAGTGAGCATGGATGCTGACATGCATTGTCCGATAGCAACTTCGGGCTTTCATTGTTAAAAGTATTTTTGTTCTTTTTGTGGAAAAAAAAAAACCCCAGAAACAAACAAAACGAAACAATCGAATAACCTGAGGATCATTTGTATGTTAATGTACTGTGCCTTTTGGAATTTAGACAGGAACTCTATGTTTTCATTTCACCAGATGAACATGGCCAAGAGCTCTAAATTTGATTTTACTATATTGTTTGGTGAAAAAAAATATTAGAAAGGTTAATATAAGCTTGGATTTAATCAAACCTTGGCAAACACTCTGAGGTATTGTGGCGCTGAGTCATGATTCCATTTGAACTTCAAATTTATTGTAGGAACATCATGTAGCCTTTTCTATAGTCAAACAGCTAATGGAGCCTTTACTACGGCTAACTCAAACTGGGCCGCTCTGTGAGGCAACCGTATTTTAATCCTAAGGGACAAAGTTACATTTTGTTTTTCTGTTTCTTTTTTTGCTCACTCTATCCTGGACAGGCTCCTTTTTATGGATATGATAGTCTTTGAAATAGCCATTCCTATTGTAATCTTAAGAAACACATAAGTCATTAAGCTCAGTGCCAACGATCGCTGAGGTTTCAACAAGAATAATCACTGCTGGAACTTGTTACTCCACACTTTTAAATTGACTTGACAGTGTTACGGCAGCTAGTACGCTACCAAGTGCTAGCTACGTTAAAGTGGGCGGTGTTTTTTGTTTATTTTTACGTGAGACATTTTTGGTGCAGGTGTGTGCAAAATTGAAAAACTGGAGTCAGTTTTTTGATTTTTGAATTGTTTCTCTACAAACATGTATCAAAACAAAAAATGCCTGCCATCTTGAAAGTGAAGTTCAAAATGGCTGCATAAAGCAATCGGGAGGGCATAGCGTGGTGTTAGTGTTTACTGAATCGACCGGCAACCACGAGGCCCAGATGGTATTCTACGCTTGCAAGTGTTTTGTTTTTTGGTCAAGGAGGAAAGACACGTGAACTGAGTCGCAGGCTTAACTTAATTACAAACGTTTTCTCTTTTCAAGCTGCGTTGGAGGCATGGTTCATCTTAAAGAGACAGGGTTCATCTTAAAGAGACAGGCATTTGAGTGATCACTGAGGTTTATCGATTAAACAGCGAAGGAGACGGCGGGTTAGAGCAGCACTTCGACCACTGGGGGTAGGCGCGGCGTTCAGTGCATCGCCGATTGGCTTTGGTTTCAATTGTTGCGTAGTGTAACTGTGGAGGGGGCCAAAGACGAGGGGGGGAGGGGCCACCTTCCTCATGGAACATTTAAGTACTGTCGGGTCCTCTGGGAGTTTATCTGCTCAGACGTATACAAATCTGTGGCTTCGCGGCGCCGGAGCAGGCTTTTCCTCTCAAAGAGGAGCAGCCATCGAGAGGAGGAGAGATGGGGCGTTTCACCTCAAAATGCTCCCAACTTTCTCAGCGGGTGTGTTGTGCCTTGAAACCTTTTTTTTTTTTTTTTTTTTTTTAAAGAAACAGAACTATAAGCGGATGCACTGACAGTGTTGAGAACTTGAGATTGAATGGTGCTACTTGATTTAAGTGTGTAGGCCCTTGTTCGTCGTGCCCATCGAGTTTTACAAAAGTTATTTTATTGCACATCTAGAGTTTTATATAGATGTCTTGGATATGTGTCCTTAAGCTTCCAAATATTGTGTGTGAGGAGGAGATTGTGAAAAACGCAGCTTGTTTACAAAGGGGACAGGTTCTAAACGTTTAAACCAGGATTTATTTGGGACCAGGGGATTTAGCAGTCGGGGGGGGAATTTAGCCATTTGCACAGATTTCTAGATTCTACTTTTGCTGCTAGTTTTGTGTAATTTATTAAGCATTTTTGACAAATATTTATTTTTGTAAGCCTCAAAGTGATTCTTTGAAAGTTTCAGTAACTTGACCAAAAGACAGTACAAAAAACACTGGCACTTGAATGTTGAATGTCACCTGTTTGCGTGAAATTTATATATTTCGGGGTAGTGTGAGCTTTTTAATGTTTAAGATACATTGGACTCAGTAAATAATATCCACAGCTGTTCCAGGGCCTCCTCGTGGCCAGTCATCTCTATTAGATTCTATTAATTGGTCAACAAAATTTGAAATGGAATTGAACAAACATGCCAAGGTTTGGAATATAGCTGTCAAAAGAGCAACAAAAAATCTTAAGCATATCAGTGCTGAAGTGTTCAGATTCTCCAATTGTGTGCATTATTGATTCTTTACTCTAATTTGACCTGATTATTTTTCTCCAGTGAATGTCTGGCACATGGCAATCCTTAAAGAAACAAACATGTGGTTTATTCTCATTGTTGTATTTGCATATATGAACGCTCTGGAGTTCCTTCTGAATGTAGAACACGTCTGCACGATTGATTTCCACGGCAGCTGTTGGAATTAGTTTGAGATGAGCAGGAAGGTTCTGTGCCGGTTGTTGCAGGCAGAACCCGAGACTTGTTCCACATTCTCCAGAGAACCCCGGAGCTCTTTAGACGTAGACTTTGCTTTCTGTATTAGCTTCTAGGCTACTGCACCGCATGGGAAATACTCAGCTGTGCAATTGTATGATTTTACCAAAATAAAATGTTTGAATGCAAAAATTATCTGGAAGAATCCAGCATGTTTCATGAAGACTTGTTTACTGTAGTTGTGCAGAGAAGACCTGTAGCAGCAGCCTGTTGCCTTGTGTGGATTCCGGGTGGACGGGCGGCAAATACTCAATTTGGTAGAGATTGGATGGGCTTCATTTCTTTTGAAAAAAATATAAAGATTTCATTTGTAAATTTATGTGTGGATTGTGTCATTTCCTCAAACCAGTGTTAAGGCTCAGTGATTTGAAAGGTGTTTGTTTTATAACGACGCTAAACACAACCAGAGTATTGTGTTGCCTAATTCTAAAGCTTTCAAATATATTTTAGACAGTTTCGCAGTCTTTGAAGGACAATACTTAAGTTACTAGAAGTGATCCGACTATCGCATCTGTTACCATAAACAAACATTTAAAGGTACTTATTCTGTTATGATTTTAAGCAAACAAGTACAAATGTGAGAAACAAAGTGCTGGATATTTCACAAATGAAAGAAGACGCTAAACTCGTGACATTTTATATGTTGGAGGAAGAAGAGTGTCGCTACTGAAACAGAATATACTTCGTTGTACTTAAACCCACTTAACCTCTCCTGTGCTCAAAGCCGGGCCTATAAAATGAATGTAGGCAGACTTCCATCTCGCAGTTTCAGGTTCCTGTCATGACTTACTGTGACACTTGAACAGAACGGATCTGTTACTGTTGAACAGATTATGAGTCAATGGGTGCCTGGGCAGAGACACCCAGAAGGCCCCGACACCTCTACCACACAACAGCAAGACGCACTGACTTTGGTCATTTTGTGCCTCTGTGTAGTCATTTGTCTCGCTTTGTGGTTTTTCTCTCTTTAGTAATTTTGTGTGTGTGTGTGTGTGTGTTCTTTTTGTGTCTCTTTAGTTTGTTTCTTTGTGGTCATTTTGCATCTCTTTATGGTCGATGCGCGTCTCCAGGGGGGGGACCCTGACATTTTGGGCCCCGGGGTCTTTGACCACCCAGTAGGCCCATTCATTAATCCATCCATTGTTTAGAGTAACACCTCTTCCTAATATGTCAAAGGGCCTGTGGTTTATTAAAAGCAAAATCCCAGGTTTGAAAATGTTATCGGTAAGTCTTTCAGTAATAATGGAGGCTTTTTGTGGCAGCATATTAATGCTCATGGTTTCAACAATCGTGTGTGTGTGTGACGCGTTTTAGTCTGTAGAAGTGTTGCAGTCAGACCAGGTGACCTGAATCCAGAGAGTTGTCTCTATTTGCTCTCCCCAATGGTAACCAGATGTGCAGAGATTACGGTATGCTGAGCTTTTGAAGTGGCAGTCTGGTGAAATGAGGGTAAAATGATCAACAAAAAAAGAAAGTTGACCTGTATTTGATGCCTCGACAGACGGCGGCGGGAGTGCAATGAAAACCCACTTTTGGGGAGTTTTTTTTAATGTTGCTCTTGAAAGGTCACATGGCCTCTAATGTGCTGAGGTCTCATAACCGCTGAGCCAGTGACACCCATTAAAACCCTGTTGTATAATATCTGTCATTTTGAAAAATGCAGTTTTCAGGACCTTGAAGTCGGGTTTCTCACTCTCAGCTCTGCGGAGGAAGATGGAGGTCCGTGTGCAGTGTGGACAGCAGAGTAATCGTACTCAGCAAATTGTATTGATCGCCTCCCCCATCAGATCACATACCGCTGGTGCCCTGATCCCCTAATCCATTTCAACATCTGCATCTCTGATAAGTTTTTATGTCCAACTTCATGCTGCGAGTGTGTGTCGGTGTAATCTGTGTGTTTCCAAGTCACCGCTTTGCCTCAGCGGTTTGATCCGAGAGCTTCGCTTTACTTCTGTAATCCTGCCAACAACCGCCCATCTCCATCCATCCCTGCCTCCATCACTCCATCACTCCATCCAGGGGATTTGACTGCCATTAAGAGATGGCTTTTTGGTGTGTGTGTGTGTGTGTGTGTGTTATGGAACGCACACTGTGAAGGGGAGGGGGGGAGGATGAAGTGTAAATTCACAACCGCACACACTGTAGCTGGAGGACAGTTTCGTGCAGAAGCATCCGTTATGCGGTTGATGGTGCAGCGTGCAGACGACGGGTGGGACGGACCCATGCAGGAACACTTTCAACACACATGGATGCAACCGTCTGGAAAGATCTACAGGTATGTCGCTTCCATTTTCCTGCAGCTGGTTGGTTTCACAGTTGTGATATTCTGTAAATATATTCTGTGATATTGTTTTACAGGATTGTAACTCTTGTTAAAGTTAAAGAGTCCAACTTGAGCTTAAACTAACGTCCTTCAAATCACCTGCAGACTTTCAACAACAGGCTTTGGGACGTTTGTTTATATAATTCACAACAGCTCATCATTAAGTGCTGCTGTGCTGTTGTGCCGTTTCAGACCTCCGTTAATCCTGGCATGTCCCAGATGAGAGGCTACAGTAATGACTGTCATCACTTTCACTGGTCAGTTTCTATCCCTTCACTCTTCTGTTTGTTTCTTTCTCCTCCTCAGCTGCAAAAATGCTCTCACAGCCTAGACTGCTTCGGGGAAAGAAGCAGAGTCACACTGTCAATCCTCATGTAATAATTAATAATCGCTGAGGTTAAAAAAAAACAAATTCTTCCAATGAGCCATCCAGTAAACACTGGTTTGCCTCCATCAAAGACATTTTCATCTATATGTAACTGACTGACTGATTAGACTAAAAGGCGGCGCAGAACGCGGGCTAACGTGAACTGGATCGAGGTGAGATCCGAAGCACAGACAATGCCTATTGTTGTGGGGCTAATCGCTGATGTAAGCTGTTCTGTCTCAATCACATCATCATTTCACCAGCAGCTCGTAAAGAGACAGTTCAGCCCTCAACGTGCCTCAAACGTCAAATCGAATGTACTGATGCTGATATGTGTGTTTGCAGCTTCTTAGTTTCTTTGGAGCGAATCAGAGTAAAGAATGTTGATTTGATGCTTGAACCCTGACCCTCCGGTGCTCTTCCAGTCTCCGTGCTGTGCCTGCTGCCTCAGGCGGTGCTGGCCCGCTGGGCTTGTGTGCGGGCGTGTCCGACCTCCTGCACCTGCACACAGGAGAAGAGCTGCAGCGTGCTGTGCGACCGCTCCAGCCTCGCTGAGTTGCCCAAAGAGTTCCCCTGCGAGGCCTCCGCCATCAACCTGGACAAGAACAGCCTCAAGTTCCTGTCGGAGAGGGCCTTCGGGACCCTGCCCTCCCTCAAGTCTCTCTCTCTGGACCACAACAACATCTCCTTCATCACCCCTGGAGCCTTCAAGGTCCGCTGAGGTTTCCTGTTGTTTGGTTGCTCTTCTTTTTTTTTTTTAAAGAGAAGCAGAGATAATTAATATCGTGTTTTCAGGAATTTGTACTGAAAATTGAAAAGCAAGGTGTTGTCTGGGAGTTTAGGACGGTGTGCAATAGTGTGTGAAAGGCAGGTTTCCATTACATGAAGGACAAGGCTGCATTCCTTCTGTGGTGGACTCTAGAAGGATTAATTACATTTACCTCCAGCAAAGAGTACACACACTCTGTGAAGGCTGCCCTATTCTCACATGTTAATGTTTTACTTGCCTACTTGTTAAGACAGGCTGTCCGCTGCTGAGAAATCTGCCACTAAGTCAAAAACAACGGAGGTTGAATGGGATTAAAGTGGTGGAGCTCAAACCATCTCCAAATTACAGTTTTGTTCAGAGCTTTGAGCTGCAAAAGTGCAACCTTTCACCTCCAAACCTGAACAAATAACCCCAAAGTCATCTGCATGATTAGATAGCGATAGGTTTAAGTTAGATACCAGTTTTCGGAGTTAACCATCTTGTTTGTTCACCAGTGGTCCATATTTCCACAGAAATGCATGTGAATATGTGTTTTATCCTGTGAAAACCTCTTTTGCAGAGAAGTATTTAGTCTTATTGATTTGTAGCTTTGACTGAAGGTATCTTTACTTTGGGGTCTTGTAATCTTACCAGCGCCTTGTGAAACTACAAATTGAAATCTGCATATCTAACACACAGCTGACCCTCTGTCCCGCAGGGCCTCGGCAACTTGGTAGAGCTGAAAATAGCGAACAACGACTACATCAGTTATCTTCATACGCGGACGTTATCGGGGCTGAAGAAGCTGGTGCGCCTGGACATCTCGAACTGCAACCTCTTCAACCTCCCCGACCGCATCTTCCTGGAGCAACCGGCGCTGAAGGAGGTGCTCTGCTTTGAGAACAAGTTCAGGAGGATACCCGGAGCCTTCAGAGGCATGGAGAACATGACTCACATCTACCTGGAGAGGAACAAGATCGAGGCGGTGGCCTACAACTCCCTGCTGGGCCTGGGTGGTCTCAAGTGAGTCACAGGCTGGAAGTAGCTCGCGCGTGATGAATTAACTCACCAATAGTCTACTTATTAGTAATAGTAAATATGAACTCACTGGATTGTAGAGTGATTTCACTTCTGCCTGCATTTGGGCTGTAGGGATCACCGTAGTCTGTCGGGTTTCCATCTCTCTAGTTGAAGACATGCTGACCTGAAAGTACCTGATTTACGAATTATGGCCGAATGGCCTATAGTGAAAGAATCTGCCTCAAGTCCTCAGTTTGGTCTTTTAAACATCTCTGTCTTCCTCTTATATCAGGCACCTAAACCTCCAGGAGAACCGCATCAACGTGATCCACGACGGAGCCTTTCAGGACCTTGTGCGGCTGGAGAACTTCTACTTCAACGACAACCGGCTGACCGATCTGCCCCGGCTCGCCTTCAAAGGCCTCGTCCGCCTCAAGATGCTCAACCTTGGGGGGAACCAGCTAACCAACGTGTCCAAGACCTGGTTCGGCGACCTGGTGGAGCTGGAGGTCCTGTACCTGGACAGGAACCAGCTGTTAAACATCGAGGAAGGCACGTTTGAGAACCTCACCAGCCTGATCACGCTGCACCTGAACAGCAACAACCTCACCGCCCTTCCCTTCCCTGTTTTCCGGCCCGTCTACTTCCTGGGCCGCCTCTTCCTCTTCAGGAACCCCTGGGAGTGCGACTGCTCCCTGGAATGGCTGAAGGAGTGGATGGAAAGCTACAAGCTGGTGCGGGACATCCCCTGTGCCTCACCTTCCTCCGTGGCGGGGCTGGATCTCAGCGAGGTGGTTTTCGCCAAGGTGAACGGCTCGTGCGTGGACCCCGGCGAGCTGAACCTGACCACGGCCTCGTCGGAGATCGCCTCCACCACGGAGAACCGCTTCAACAGCCTCATTTCAAAAATGCTCCAGCAGGAGATCAGAGAGGAGATGGGGAACGGCACGGAGAGCCTTCGCAACGGGACCCTGCTGGGGCCCGAGGAGGGCCAGATCTCTGCAGGGGTCGGAGGGCGACGGGCCCAGGCCAGCCAATCCATTCTCTGCATCATTGCAGTGTGGCTCATCTTTGATTTGATTGGCCGGTCAGATATGAATTACTGTCGTTCCTGCACATGAGAACAGTGGAAAAAGAGGGTTTTCTTCACAGAAACAACACGGAGTAGCTTTTCAAATTGCTGCTGAGATAAAAGATGTTTTCATTTATCCGTGAGAGCACAGAGGATGTGCGGCTGCTTGGGAGATTTTTTATAGCTCGGTAAACTGGATATTACCAGCTATCCTTGGAGGGAAGACTGACCTTGACGTGGCGGGATTTATTTTCGCATGAGCTACAATAATCTATGATATTTATAGATTTACATATGTGATGAGGGTCTCTCATCGTGGTTCATGAGCAGCTACGCCAAAGCTGTACGGGAGTCGTCTCTACGATCACAGAGGCGGGTGTTGATTTCAGACGTGGCAAAGTGATGAAAATGTACACGTGAACCTCCACCTTTTCTTGTATAATGCTCAATTTGTATTAATATTATGTATTATTCGTAGCATTGCATAGTCTGTTACGAGCGTTTTGTCTTTGGTATTTTGATTCACATCAGTGGGTGAAGTTGAAGAAGATAAGAGCTCCTGTAGTTATCTCCTAAGCAGATGTCCTCTCTGCTCGTCTATATTCATTCAGCTCTAAATGTAGGTTCTGCAGCTTTTCCATAAATGCATTAATCTTCTTATTGCATGTGGCTCAGTGCTGTTGCTGCTGGTGTATGTTACGGCGTAATGGAGGGACTCTCTCGTTGCTTTCACCTCTCTCTATACCGGCGGTGTGGTGGGTGTGATTGCCATATGTCAGGTTGTGGATGGGGGAGGGGAAAGTGTTAAAGAATACCCCTGTGCTGACACCAGCCACTGCTTTCTTTTGACCCTGGTGAATGTTAGTTTGGTTTGGACAGGCAGTGATCCGGTTCATTGGTGTTTTAAGACAAAACGCTGTGTTATATTATATATTTTTTTTAAAATAATAATAAAAAAAAAAATGCTGTTGAACTTTTGACGTGCCCGCTCAGTGACTTCTTTCAGGGTCGAACACCAGTTAATCTGCACACTGGCCTGTGCCATCGTTCTCATGCGCCACCCCTCTCATGCACCATCATTCTCATGCGCCACCCCTCTCATGCACCATCGTTCTCATGCGCCACC